GCACACAACGTAATGTGAATCGCGAGCGCGTCGAAAATGATGCGCGAATGAAAATGTATTTTCACAATAAATAATAAACAAATCGTTGTAGTAAGGTATGACATCCATGGTTGAACGTGATTCTGTTAATTGAGAAATTGTTCATTGAGCACGAAGCACAGATAAGTAAAGGTGTAGAATAAAATGTGACTGTTGATAAATAATGTTTATCGAACATTAGCAAGGGTTGCTTTGGTTTCTTTCTAATCAGCAAGCAGCACTGATAAATTAAAAAAAATTGTACCAGTTTAATTGTTGCAGAACTTCGTAACATCCTGCGAGATAACGTATCGGCTAACGCTAAAAGTGAGGAAGTTCCATCGATAAGAGACGTCACACACAGCAAGGACTTTTGCTGATAAATATATTTTTAACTACATTAACTTATAAAATCTCGAATAAAATATTAATACGTGCAAATAAATAGCTTTCTCGTGGAAAATTTAATTAAACATAAACCTATAACTCCTTTTGTTACTTGTCTCATCATTTTTGTACCAAATTTTTATTTTATAATACAAGAAAGATTATTAAGAGGATTTATGTATTCACGTTTCAAAATCATCAATTAATGGATGATTAACGTTATATTGAAGAAGATTCTATCAAGCGACAAGATATTTAATAAATTGTATCGGAAAAGTAACATTATATTAAAGAAAATCTTAAATTACTCAATGAATCCTCGCAAAATTTTATGTCAATCATAAATATATCAAGCAAATCTCTTAGTTAATTAGCAAGGAAAATATCTCGCTACAATATGCGTCAAGTCAGACGCTGAGCTGATTTGCGATGTGTCAGAAAGATTAACGTATAATGGATGGTTACCGGAGAGTGGCCAGAAAGTAAACTTTTTCAACACTCATTTCGACACGCCGCGCTATATACGAATGATAGATGCGAGTTATGCACGCAAGATCATGCATCAGCTGTCGGCGGAAGATTTCGTGACATTTGTCGTTAAAGGAGGCTGCTGATATAAACCCAATGGCGCCGCTGACCTTTGACATCGCGTAAACGTGAGTAACGAAGCGTTAATCAACGGGCCACAAATCTTCGTTTAGTTTATGCGGAAAAGATTCGATGGAGCAAAGTTGGAGGCGCAATTTCTCTCTCAGCCGGATAATGAACCCACGCATGCCTGGATCGTCTTCCTCTCATTCAATTACTTTTTAAATACGTGTCGATGCCCGCGAGATAACACGAGGGAGAGTCGTCTCCGACGTTGTACCCGAATTGTACATTGATTTAACGATCGCGCGATAAATGGTCCTGGCTCTTTTATCACGACATATTATTTTGATCTAGTTTCGCCTGGGACCACTCGGCTAATTTGCGTAGGCAACAATTGGTGCCATTATTCATCGTATATATCAAGAGCTGCGTCCTTACCACCCAGGAGATAACATTTCCTATCAGAATTGGTTAAGTTGCGCAATCATTCATACTTGTATCTTGTTATAGGAGACTGTGCCGCATTGATAACAAATAAGTTTCATATAATAACGGTAGGAGGTTGACAGAGGAAAGTCCCTTATTACGAGATAGGCCTCCAGTAGAGAGACAGCAGGTTTTCAACGTCCAAATTCAATCGCAATCTTCTTTCGCGACGATTACACAGTCCGCCAATGAATTTTCCACTAAACAGATCTCGCTCCAAGGGCAATAAATTCATGGTGGAACCAACAGACGATGCTTATTAATTTAGTAGAAACCTCGCTGTCTCGTATTAGGAGCCGGTCTCGTAATAGGGGACTTTCTTCTACTGTAAAACATCGCGGACTGATATAGACCATAAGAATATTTGTCGCGCAATCTAATAATAATATTACAATGGTCCATCGTACCGATAGTTCGCTGTGGCTTTATCATTGGAGCTGCGAATGGCGTTACCCGGCAAGTCACGAACGGCTCGAGGTTTCCTGGCAAGAGAAGGTTCAGCAAAGTCGGGTTTCTTCAGAGCGATGGCGGTACTGTTTTGTCAGAAGAGAATAGAATTTACAAAGAAAATTATGTCCCCCCGAATTAAGTTTCATCTATTTTATGACACTTGATATTAATTGTAATTTTTTTAAATTGTATTAAACATATACGTATATTATGACATTTCGACAATTTTTCGTAAGAGTGTATTTTTCGTGCGCTCTAAAAAATTTTTCAAAAACAGAATACTCGGCAAGAGTTATTAACCGTTGACGATGCGAAATGAACGTGATCGAACTAACATCCGCTTCTATTTTCGATTGAATTTGAAATCATTTCCCGTTACGTGTAAAGTAGATATTCCAATCTTCGCTGCCAGAGTTGTGAATGAACGAATCGATTTCACGGCCTTTTCGCAATCGGTCTTTATAGAACTCGTCTTACATCCCGCCGATTTTTTCAATTCATTTCAATTTCATTTCACGGCGCAGCCGGATACATAAATTACGCCGAGTACGCGTTACGCCGGCGGAATAACATCTCGGCTGATTAATACTGACGCACTCGAGGAATTTCTGTATTGTCCGTATCCGATCTGTGAATAGCTGCTGCTGCGCGTAGTTTCTACAAAGAGGAAATCGACGCTTCGCGAACGATAGCTCTCCATAAGTCAGAACAAAGGCAATAAAACATTGTTTTACTGTTTCCCCTGAGCGAAAGGAATACTTTTTTTTTGTACAACTTATACAGCACGGCGTCTAATTTGCCATTCGACATGACGGAGAAGAGAAAGCACGGAGGAGTTTACGGTTGATTATAAGAGGAATTATTCGCGATTGGCGCTCCGAGCGAAAATATTTCGCAACGTTCGCGGATTGAGGCGGCGGGGAAATGTTTCAAGCGGTCGAGCGGTCAAGCGAGCCAGGACGCCGTTATTTTTCAATGCGTAATTCGCGGGCGTCAAACGTTTCCTCGGCGGCGACGAGAGATTTATGGCAAAGTGTGGAGAATCGTTCCTTGTCACAGTAGGAGAATTACAAGCGTGCTTTTTACGAGCGGGGTGGCGGCTGATAGTGGGGGTGGCGCAATGCGGCGCCCCGACTTGCATCCACGAGGGCAGGAACACACCGGGAGAGAAATCTCGGAGCGGGGTCCGAGTACGAGCTTACGCAGCGGCCCGTTAACGCAAGCCGCAATTTATCTAATTAATGAGACGTGATCGAGAGAGAAGTCGTTAATTAACGCGCGCGATCGAGGCTACGCAGGGGCGAGCTCGATCGAGCATCGGCGATGCCGCGAGGGCACGCAAATGCGTGAAACAGCCGCGGTACTGCGGTGCCTTGGTATTACTACGTGTTGGATGTGGCGATAATGCACAGATAACAATCGGATAACGACCGCGGGAGCGCTTGTTTAGAACTGCGTGAAAGGCTCTTCTTTCCACGCCGGTTTCTCTTCGTCTGACGCCTCTCGCATCCGTTTACCCCGTCCCTGCCCTCCCTCCCGCCCCGGCCGCCGCGTCAGGATCGCGCTCTTCTTTGCTCTCGTCTCGGTGTAGCGACCCCCACTACGAAATCCCGCTCTCGTATCGAACGCCCTGTGACGTCATTGAACTTTGTATGACGTCGTGCCAGTGGCTCTCAGCCGAGGAAGCCGAAGCCAGGCCAACGGCCATGCGAGGAGTTGTCCAGGTAGCGTTTGATAACGAGCGTTAATCGGGACGCTCTCGAAATCGGTTTAGACACAGGCACCAATTATCGGCGGCTCAATCGCCGCCAGATAAGCGTGGGATTCGTGGATAGGAGAAAGGCGGCTTGCTACGGATCGCTTCCTTTCCGTTCCGCGCAGATAACGGAGGCAGCGTACCAAAGTCTGATGTTAAGAACGCGCAAAACATACGCGATTTCCATGTGAATTTACAATCTTCCCTCCCCCTCCGTCTCTCTTTCTCTACGACAGAATTTTTCCGGATTTTCGTAGACGGCGCCTTTCTCAGTCACGACGACAGCCCGATATCGTTATTGGCCTTTCTCAACTTCTATCCGAGCGAAAACTGATGTGGGTCGGTAGCGCGCGTAATCGCGCGCTCTACCGCGCGAGTGGAGCTACCCCTAAGTTAGGGAGATGCGAGGGTAGGGAAGCATCCGTCACCAACTCCCCGGGGACCATTGATCTGACATTCTCCGCGATGACGTCACCGCCGTTCGATAGAAACGGGTCAAACGTCACGAAAAACGGTCTCGCTCGAAATTCCTGGCTGTGATTCAAGAATGATGGCTTTCGGCCCTTCTACATATGCATGACTACTGTGTCGAACACGAAAGGAACGATCGATTAAAACCGATTTCTTTTATTCTCCACGAGTAGTTTAAAAGGTACAAATCAACGATGCGACGGCAAAGGGAGAGATGCAACGTGAATTTAACTCGCAACAATCTATACTCCTAGACGGCCGTGGGGTTATAAAAATAACAATTGAAATCGTTAACAAAGCATTTCATTTTAATTAGAAATATTTGCCAATCTATTCGATAAACGTTAGTTCTCCACAGAAATCACTTATTGCGATCCTAATTCAATACCGGACGTGCTTGAGAAAGCAGAACGTTTATCGGGAAACCTCCATCGGAAGTTCACTAAACTCGAATACCATAGCGACGTGAGACTGTTAGATCGGGGGTGGTAGAAGAGACGAAAGAGAGAGAGAGAGAGAGAGACAGGGGGTGAAGGGGTAGAGGCAGGGCCACCGCGACATTGGGAAAGCTACACTTTGGCGAATCGGAGGCGGCAGCAGGAACGCATCTCGGAGAAGAGGACCTCCCACAGAGATATCCCTTGTTTCTTCCCGGGCGCCTATTCACTTTGCTTTTCCCTCCTCCTTTTATCGATCCTTCACCAACTACAGAACTGCTACAGAGCCAGCAGCAGCAGCAGCAGCAGCAGCAGCGGCAGCAGCAGCACGCCACCATCAACGGTAGCAGCACCAGCAGCAGCGCGTCGGCAGCAATCAACATCGCCCACCATCCCTCAGTGGCTGCCCGGCCACCAAGCCGGCATAACTGCTTCGATCGGTCGGTTCGCGTGTGGTTCTCCACCACGCATTGCGTCACGCAGCCAGTCGTCGGCGACGCGCGCCCGTCTCGCCAGAGCTCGGTGGAAAACGTTCTCCTGAAGCGGCCGACGCGCCGCTCGGGGTGCGCACGAAATACGGTGTACGGTGCGGGGGCGCACGAGCGAGTCGGGGGTGCACGGAGCGCAGTGTGCTCGCGAGGGTTGCCTGGCTGCACAGGCACGCCAGTGCAGCCGCCGGTTTACCGCCAGGCAGGGTAGTCGTGCGGCTCGACGATGCGTCCAGCTGGGCTCAACTGAGCGCACACCGCCCCCTTGCTCCTTTTTCTTTCATCCTGTCCGCGACTTGTCTTCGAGGGTTGAGGCAGGACGACGTAAGTGCGCAAAGCGTGTTCGTCGAGCGTAGTACCTGGTGGTTGCACGTGACTAGTAAGAAAAATCCAAAGCCTCCCCCCTAGGATACGCGCGTTCACATATCCTGGGGGGTTGTGGATTTTCCCAAGGATAGTAACTCTTCCTCGATTCGTCGTAGAAGCGTTTTATTCGGGGATGTACCCCGCCGCCGGGGTCGATGAAGGCAGATGACGCGCGGTGGTCGATTTGTGGATGTGTAGTACGCATCGCCTTGGCGGGAACAATGACAGGTGACGAGAGACATAGCCTCTTTGCGCTTCGCCACGCGTGACGTGACGCAGGTAAAAGTCCGGAAAAAAGTCGCTACGGAGATGAATGAAGCTCGATAGAATTTTTGCGATACACGAGCAATGGAAATGGCGTGTCCTACGCGGTTCCCGTGATATCGTCCGAAATGATGGCGAGTGTCGAATTTGCCGATCCAATTGCCAAGTGGATCGATGCAAAACTCGCGATTCAACGATCGTTCGGCAGTTGACGGAAACCTGATCAAGTAATTTGCGTTAGGACGACAGGGGAATCCCACTGCGTTTGTGATTAATGTCTCTTGGCTGGTCGCTTGGCAAACCGCACGATGTATGGCGGCGTGTTGAGGGCTTTCAGAACTTAGCCTCTTTCGTTCTCCTTCAGACCCGACGATCATTATTCTGCGTCGAATAAATCTAACGTACTATTGTCATGCAAAAAGTATCGTGCGACGTATTACGCTATAATATACGGTAGACCAACATTGGAGCACACTCGATTGGAGTAATTGTGGTATTCATCTAATTGACTTTGCAATCAACGTTTAATTACGTTAAGGCACAATTAGCGTTCACCAAACATCTTCGGCTTGCTGGAGCCAACGACTCGAGTTTATATCAATTCGTTGACTTCAACGATGCTCTGGAGCTAGAGCTAGAGCCGACATTCGTCGCGCTGTCGTGCTTTTCATCGAAACAAAAAAAAAATAGAGTGCCCAGATCGATTGTAGCAGCGCGGCAAGTCAATCGAACGAAACTTGACAGTGGAAAGGGCATAAAAATAGCAGATAGAGGGTGTACTTGGCCGTAGAAATATCGTGAACGATGTTATCCCGCAATGCTGGCTCGTCCTTGCTCGTGCGATTGCCGTTACGTTGTGTCAAGGCAAACTGCATACGTACGTGTGATATCAGATCGGTCCGATAATTCGTGCTCTAACAACGTAATAATTTTCTTGGAGCACATTTCGACCGCTCCTCATAACCACCTTCGCTCCCCGCCGCCTCCAGTTTCACGGGGGTGCGGCTGACACGTAATCCACCCGAATTTCAGATAGCGAAGGTAAACTTTCGCGGATTCCTCCTAACCCGCTGGTAATACGCATTATAGCGTCAGTTCTCGACCTGAAATTCGAGCGTTATAACTATAACAATAACAAGTGAACAAAAGAGGCCAATTTTTACGAGCATAAAAGTTGACAAAGCTGTTCAATTCAAACACGCTATCTTGTATTTCAATTGTAACAACTTTGAATTGTTTTAAAATACATATTACATTGTCAATTTTTATGCTCGTAAAAATTGGCCTCTTTTGTTTACCTGTTCAATATAACGCGAGCGGAATTGTTATTTATTACAATTATAATCGGATAACCGTTGCGAGAAAACAATTTCGTAAGTTGAACGTATAGTTTATAACGTTAATTCCGTAAGCGATTGTGATACTTGATTAACAGCTTTAATTAGGTTGATTATTCTAAATTAGTTTAGCATCAGTTGCACGCGCCGTTTATCTATATCGATCGTAGCTTCCTCGCCCGCCCGGTGGGAAAACATTTTCACCCCCATGATCTCCCGCGATAGGAAATCTGTAAAAAGGCTCGCAATTTCGACCTTGTCCTTGACGAAATTACTCCGTGTCACACACCGTCGTGAAATCCCCCAGGTCGTGTATGTTTTCGCGGCGTCGAGTGCGAAGTGCAAAACAACGAGTCGATATATCGATTCATTTCCGATAATATATTACCTCCCATGACGATAACGCGGGTGTGCACATATACGTAAACGTATCGCGTATCGGCACGGTTGATCCCCTATCTCGACGTATCGAATTTCGCGTTTAACGCGCCGTCCAAATTATCCCGGCGTGGAGAACGCGCGAAAAAGTACGTCCTCGCGTTCGGCGACGATGATGATGTATATCGATCGCCGCACGCGCCTATCGCCAGAAATAACTGCAACGGTAATCACTTTTAGCAGGCGAAAGTAATTTTAACGTTTGTTACACCCCCGGCGAATTTCCAATACAATGCGGGCGCGTGCGGAAAAAATTTTACGCGCGTGCAAAGATCTCTTGGAAGAGAAAATAGAGCAATTGCGGTGATAATTCTTGTTCCATAGCGATTAAAGTCGAAGCAACTTTACTCCGAACGTACGAGTGTGTCATTGTTTGCTCGTTCGACCGCGACCAGCGAGTAGGCGCAATCCGTGGAATACCGAGAATTACAAAGATTCCAGAAAATAAGTGAAGCAAAAACAATGGCTCGTATGATAAAAATCAAACGATAAAAAGGAGAGGGCCTCAGAGCCTAGACAAGATGGTAGTGTCAGAGAATTTTATTAGATAAAAAAGGTGTACGTTTCGATCGCAAACTGGGCCATCTTCGGTATGAGATAAAATTAGAACATCGGCACGCGAATAATACAAAAGTGAAATTACATTGTCCGTAAAATAAAATATGAAGTTGGTTATTGGAACGAAAGTACGTATAAAGAGTGTAAATCTCAAACGTGTGAATCGCGGTGCGTTTTAATGAAAGTTGAAAATAGCGCGTTAAAACCGGTATGGATGACGTAGGCAAAATGAAAGATTAAAATTAAAATGAGAAAAGATTAAAATTAGAAAACAAACGCTTAACCTTTGGTGCCGATCGTTTGTTCGCTGGGAATTGCGAAAGTGTGTCTTAAAATTATCTCGGCGAGATGTTTGCGCACGCAGATATGCAGAGCCGGATAAGGCAACGTGATTGATGCGTATTCTTTGCACGTTTGAAAAATTTCGAATATTAATTCGCCTGCCGTGGCTCCGAGTGTTCTCGAAAATTGCGCATTTGTGACACGATCATCGCTTGCCACGACACAGGGATAGGAAATCACCGATATAGACGCAACGTAATGCCGCGCGTGTAGCCACTGGCACTGCTGCATCTCCCTAGTGCGAGTGCAACGAAGCAAGGTGCACGACCCGACTCTGGGCAGCGACGATATAGAGCGAGCCGCGTGTATTTCTAGAGCAGCCGGTTCAAGAATAGAACAGCAAGTAGACGACTGAATTAAATATAGACGGTGAATGACCGGCAAGTAGATTACGAAATTTCATTGAAGTCACGAAGATCTGTCGGCGCAGTTAAATCCAGTATCTTTGTGTCGGACCCGTAAATCGTTAATTGGATGCTCGATAGCGGCAGGCGAATTATCGTTTTTTTTTCTCCGTTGCTGAGAAGGTCGATCCAATTTCGATTCCCAGCGGAATAATTATAGACGTCTGATGAACGATTGCAGTTTTAATCGCTCCGGGCCACTGTAGCATGATCGATGAACGAAGCGGTCGTAATTTATTAAGCTCAGACCTATTTGCTCGCAGTTGATACACAAGAAAATTTTGTCTGAATTAGATTCGGAGTAGGACGTCTTATCGTTCCGATAATGTTTCAAAAATTCAGAGAAGCGCGCGCGGCTTGAAGAATATCTGCGAGAAACGTCCGGCTCTCCGTATCAAGAGATGCAAAAACGCTACGAGAGTTCGCAGAAATAATCACAGCTCTGACAGTTGCGAGATTAAAGTCGCGAGATTTGAGGGTATATGCGGGCGGGAAACCACTTTTCCGTAGATATTACAGCAGGGCGCACACGTACACACACATATTAGGAGAGACTATAAATATCCAGAAATAACAGAGAAAGTAGAAGGATAAGCTGTGTGAGGAATATACGACGACCGAAGCCTATGCACGCCTACTATCCCGGCTTGGAACGACGCAGACGCTAAAAAAAAAAAGCGAATTTGATGGGAAACCAATAACCAATAGCTAGTTCTTTTGTCGGCCTAAAATTCCACGTTCGTCTGGCAATAGAAAACTAAAATCTCGCGTGTCGTTTTCGCGCGAATTAATACTTCGGGATTTGATGACGAAGAGGCCCGAGATGAAAACGCGTGCGTATTAAGCGAGAAAAAACCGAGGTAAAGAAAGTTAGCGGCAGTAATCGAGCTAGACGCTTTCAGTTTGCCGGATGTTCTTCAAACGAGTGGAATAGCTGGCATCGTGGTTCGATATCCTCAATGGAGCCACAATGCACCGGGACGAGTATATTGTTCGGCGCAGTAGTACACCGTGTTGGTCACTGAATTCCTTGTCGTTAGTTGATTAAGCTTCATGACAATGCTTTAGTAATAGCACAATTCAGAGAGAAATAGTCCGTGACAAAAGAGACATTAGCATTTCAATATTGATCATTCGATACAGTATAACTGTCTTGTGAACATTTCTATTGCGGCACTTGTAATTTTATCTAAATAGCGAATTCGACTGTTCGCACTAGTGCGCACTTGTTTACAGTCAGATCTTATATTTAACTTTGTCTCAAGTATACACTCAAAGTATTTGGCCAAAAATTTATCCATACGGATGCTATACAGATCATTTTACTGGCTAGGAAATCTTTCAAGAGATATTTTTACAGACGATCCCTAAATAGAATAATTGACTGTAAACAAGCTATAGTGTGCACTTAGAGCGCACTAGTGGAATCAACCTGGAATTCGCTGTAATACTTAACGAGAGAGTGAAATTAATTTTTTGGGGGTTGCGCGTTGCAGAAAGATGCCAGCAGCTGGTGCGGCCGTGCCGGCCGTCGCCGAGGGAGCCGATCAGCTGGAGGACCTGGACGAGCCACCGGAAGAGCCACGTGTTCGTGTTGGTAGCGGACGGGCCGGCTTGATGAAACCCCTGGTGGTGTTAGCTCTACCCGGGATGTACCTCTTTTACAAGTACAGCCAGTACAGGCGGGAACAGCGCGAGTTATCCCGCAGAAGAGTAACCGAGAGGGAGCTTCAACATCTTCACCACAAAATCGTGAGTGAATTTTCAGTCGCGTCCGTTTGTTAAATTTTTGCGACGCGGACTTGCGCGCGTCGATGTGACGAGACTATTCCACCTGTTGTTACGTCACAGGTTCGAATCTATCTTTAGTAGCCAATCGGAATGACACGCAGTCGACGATACACGTTTGTACATATTTATTTATGCCGGCTCCGAACCTATCGAATATTATTTTCACGCTGGGAAAACAGAAATACAAGCTGCACCGAATCGAACGTACGAATTGAAGAGTAAAAAAAAAACGGATAAACGGTAGCCAAAAATAAACGTGATACACCACTATTGGCCTCAATAGCCATTTATTATACATATAGCCGACGAGATTGCTTTCGTTATACTGTATTCCGAAGACAAACGACAATTCTGAAACGTGACGCGATGAAAGTATTATTGCCGCCGATATTGATCCCTGACGTGAGCAGCGACGGGTTCATGGGAAAAATCATTTTACCCTTTCTAATCAAAGGGTTGACGCTTCTCGACGTACGTCGTTTATCGGAGGTCCGTCAACGAGATGACGAGATTGCATACCCCGTCTCTACGAGGATGTTAATAACACGAGCGGACAAGGAAGAGTGACAAGGAGGATAAACTGCGCGAGAAAACGCAAAGAAACGATGAAAGGGTTCGATTACCCGGGGAGTAACGTGAGCGTCCCCCGTCTCTTGGAGAAAGCTGTATCATCTCCTGAAAAGTATAGCCGCTTATTTTATACCGCGATTCTTATTAAGCGACCTGCCCAATGACGTCTCCGTCATCATCTCGGATCCCCACGTCGCTCGCGTTATCTCACGAAGGAAATGAGATCCGCATAATGTTGTTCCGTTACCTCTGAAACTTGATTCGTCGTGCCCGCATAATTTTTCATATCAAATAATTCCAGAATCAACTCTCTCATCTTCATTTTGTGGAGGAAAGGAAGGATCTTAATTGTTGGCCGTTAGAATTTATGCACTGTGTAACTTGGCGCTGTCGCGTTATCGTGTTGAAGGTATGCAAATATTGAAAAAAATCAGTGGTTGCTAGGTAGCCCGCCTAGACCTCCGATGTCCACTCGAGAGATAACTAACGCTGCGGAATTCACCTATAGAAACTCGGGGAAACTCTGTAAACTCTGAACGCGTATTGATTTCCGTCCGTCCCGGGCTATCGTGCCTCGGTCAACTTAGCAGGTACTGATCGTTGATGAAAGGGCGACTTACGATGAGTCGCGATATAGATGCGCGGCAATAGTGTATCGGAAACGGGGCACGTCCCGACAAATAACTCGCTCGCTGGAAAGCGTCGAGAGACAGTTATCGTTTGAGATGCCGATTTTGGACAACAGAAACCGCGGGAATTTGTCTCTTTCGTCTATTATTCCACTTATATAAATTAAATCCCGGTCATGCGACATGTACAAACTGTTTGGAACTCATGACGCGACGCTCCAATCGTTCTCTCAAGGTCGACCCTTGCAGCGTCCCGGTTTGGACAATTCGTTAGGTCAATGCTGGGTCTTGGCGAAGCAACCGCGGCAAGATGAAGCGAGTAAAAAGTGTCTCCGCTAGGGAAACCTGCCAAGAAGCTGCATATACTGTCGACGGATCGTTACTTGGATATCTCGAATACCTCGTGCAGCCTCCATAACCGTGGACCGCGTTCGCGGTACTGTGGAAACCGGAATTTCACGAAGCCAGTTCACGTCCAGTCAGCTGATTTATCACCACATGTTACTCGTTATCGAAAACTGCAACTACTAGACAGCGGGGAGAAAGCGAGCTGTTGCCACTATCCCATTATTGGCGTGTACGAAAAAAAGCGAACGGGAAATTTAAAAGAAATTAAAATTATACTAGCGTGCTCACGTGATATTAAACGTGATATTAGGGAGGGCCTTGGCAATTTCCGTAAAGAAGCGATCAACTTTAGCCTTGGCAATAAACACACGAACATTAGCAAGAGCAACCGAGCAAGCCGAGTCGCGTCGCTTAAAAATGAAGCGATTTTTACGAACCGATGGAACTTGAACGCGAACGAGACGTAGGTGGCGGCTCGCGTTTCTCAGATAAGGTTCACGCCAACTCGACGTTAAGATCCCGATCGTACCCGGCCAAGCACGTGGACCTTATCCGCTGTATTCGTTTACCGCCGTCGTGACAACGTCGTGAAACGAAGGATAGGCGAAGGACAAGGAAAAGAAAATCGATGTGTACCGGTCACTCGAGATTATCGGCGTCAGATATCGCGTTCTTCTTTACTTTCGATATTGTTTCAACGCTATTCGCGACAGTTTCCAGTTTCCACTTTAAAATGAAACAAACGCCGCTCGAGCAGTGGAATATCATTCAATAGTTCTTACAATCTTTATAATTTTGTATATTTAGACCGTTCACTTTAGATAGAACATAAATGTTTAACTTTTTTGTAAAAAATCCCATTTTTATGTCACAAGCGTTTTATTTTACATTGTATCTACTTTTCTCTTAGAGATTTTTCTTTATATTAATCTAAAAATGGGCACATATGCGCCGGAGATACAACCGTTATAAAAACAGCAAGAATTTTCTCCCTTGATGCAACGTAATTGGATTTGCAGAAAATAACAAGCCGACAGGGTTGTATTTTGTGGTAGTGACCGTCGGCTGACTAAAGTTTTACGTCGCTATCTGCTTCCCCTTTCGAGTCACGTAAGTGCATGTCCACGCGATTCCTAGGACTCATTGTTCACCAACCTGCAGTGGCTAACCGTCGCGTCGGTGCCGTCGGTCGCTGGGTGAACTAACAAACTTTTCGATCCACGGTTATGGCCAGCTAACCATCCAAACTGTACAGTTGTTCTAACAATTCTCGATGAGATGTCCATCTTGTAGTTGAACCTTATTTTATTTTACTTCTCACTAGTCCGAAAGTGCTTATTTTACCCACAAATTATTCCAATATAAATGTTCCTTTACGTGTAATTTATTTACCAAGAAAGCTGTCATTTTTCTAATTAATCCTCGAGATATAAATTATATTGCATGCAATTTCAGAAAGTGCATGCATATCAGTTTAAAATCAGTAGCTCGTGTGGCACAAAGTTAAATAATGAACTCGCAGTTTGGTCGACGACCTCTGATGTTTGGCATTCGGCATTAAGAGTTGATAATATCATTAGGAATCGCACGAATCACATAATGCGCGAACGCTAGAAACACAGGTCGATGCAATCTTCCACTTCCGCCGGATTGCATGAGCGTTATTCAATTTCAAAGATAGATCTTTCAATGGTTGTTTCTCGATCCGTCGCCATTATGTGCATAACATTTCGTAAAGATATTCTACGTAAATTTTTTAACGATTCGTTTCTGCTGTTTTAAGCAATGCACAAATAGCAACTAACATAATCTGTATCGGATTACAAGAGTGGCTAATGGTTTTTAGAAATTTCAAATCGGGCGTTTAATTAAGCGAATCATTAGATTCATCCCATTAGCTAGTTCTTGTTTTAAAAAATCTTAAATAGGAGGAGCACATATAATTTTCTGCATCTCGGTTATTCAATTGTCTCATCCTCCTTTCCCAGATTCAATCATTGATATTAATTAAATTACGGATGCACTTTATTTTCCGAAAATGGAGCGCAATATGGAGCGGTTTAAATTCATTTTCATATCGCTAATTTGATATTCTCGAAAATCCGAAGTCTAATTTATCCCGACGAACGGAGGTTCTCTTTCGAAAATGTTGGCGCGTTGCAAATAGCATCGTATCAAATGTGGATGAGGACACGGACTTGCCCTTATCTATGGTGGCATTTCTACGAAAAAGAGATTCAATTTTGTTACTCAGGTTCGATTGTGGGACAACTCGGGATTAAAACAAAGTGAAATAAATTAAATAGAAAAGGGCGAGTGGCAGAAAAGCTTGCGCGTATCCGCCGAATTTCAGCAACAGTCACGAATGTATAATGCCGGGTGTACTCTCGGAGCTTGTAATAATGAAAGACCGGAACATAATGACTCCGAATATACAGAAAAAAAAGCGGTGTAGTTCGCGTTCTTCACGAGAGTTAACGAGACCGCTAATGCCTCGGGCAATACTCTCGGACTTGTAAACGCGAACGTCTGTACGATGCTAATTAACCGATGTCATCAAAATGCATTTTTAGGGAGATTTTTTTATAAGATTTAAATTTTTAATCGACCTCAGCTAACGACATTTATTAAATACGTTTCTACCTTTGGTTTAGGTCCTTATCAAGTGAGATCTTGTTACGCAGTTATGTGAAATGTAAGTAAAAATGCATTTCAGCGAAGTGGAGTTCTGTGTTAAAAGTACACTGTCACTAACGTCCGGAGTCGAGGGATGTGAGACCAAGACTGAGATATTTTTATACCAGGTTAACGCGAATCGGAATATAAAGCCATAAAGGAATTCATTTATCGTTTACCAAAGCTATCTCAGCGATTGATACTATAAGGCCGGCTGAAAAGAATGAGCCTCACCGCTTTGAGTCACCTCCGTATATGTGAACTTTACTCATGATAAATGATTCGAAGAATGGGGAGGAAGTATGAATGGTGGAGACATAGAGAAAGTACACGTTCGAGTTTTTCTTCGTATACACGCGTAATGTAACCATCATAGAGTGCAACACGCGAATTGCCCGCGTCTAAGCATGTTCAACGAGAACAAAGAAGATCGATATCCATAACACCGGGTTGGTGGCGGCGGCGGTGGTACGTTTCGTGTTTCGTTTCTCATTTCCGCGGAGGACAATGCTCCCGACGATGCAAGGATCGACTGGTCGATACAGGGCAGCGATTTTAGCAGCGCGGAAACCGCCGACGTTAGTTCGTTTCATCGATTCGCCAAGTGTATGATAACCGCGAGAGACAGTTCTATTTCTTCGTTAGCTGGCAAAGAAAACTCCGCGCGAATGTTAGGATATTACGAGATACGTCCACATATTCCTGAGCTTTGTCAATTAGACGGTTAAATTTACGACTTCTTAAGTGATCTGCAAAAATGTTTGAGACGCGACATGGAGATATCCAGCGGTTATAGAGAAAGGGGCAATGCGAAATCATAAATTCAACAAATATTGAAATTTGGAAAGCAGACGGCGCCGAATTTAATTCTGTCGGAGATATTTTCGCTAAATAAAAAATTCTAGATGATAGCGGATGAAAGGAAATGCACAGAAACCCGGTATGTATATGTATAACCATGAGAGAGTATAGCCGGTAACGATACTCGAGGGAGCTTCTCCTCGTGAGAGAGAAAGAACTAGCGTCGAACACGGTCGAACGTGCTGAAGCGTAGACTGCGAAAGCCGCCTTACACCTTCCACGTAACGTGGTCTTTCAAGACTAGGGTCATCTATAACCCTGGCCATTGGATTCTTATCGACCTGCCTGTCGTACTGAATTTTTCAGTGTGTATGTCGGGTTGATTGACCGCTGGCCAGATCCCACGGAGTTTATGTCGTGATTCTAAGACTTACTGTATTTCGATTCTGTCGATTCCCCTCGACGCCTCTCTCTCTCTCTCTTTCTCCCGAGAGAGATAATCCTCTTCTCCGCTCCAAGAAGAATGCACGACACGGCGACTCGTTCGCCTTCCACGCGTTTCATTCCATTCGCTTATTGTTCATTCTGCCAAATGTATTCCGAAATCGAACAATGCAGTTTAACGGTACGCGATCGTGAAAGGTCACGGTGCTATCTTCCAGATGAGTCAGGGAATGTTTCAGCCGTACATAAATCATCCTATCGATCTTGAAATTGCATTCCGGCCACTGAATATGTTATATTGTTCTGTCTACAGTTCATCTAACTTTTATTATTGTTATGCTCTAGACTTTGGTGCTTTCATATTTCCTTCAAAGATTTAATTCTTTTTAAATTACTCGCAATTATATCTTTAAGAGAATTAACTTGCAATCATAATTTTACTAATAGAATTTAACGAATGACTGTCTTCGTCTGTTCACTAATTTGAAAAATCTTTCGCGAGACATTTCGCGAGTTACTTCAGTAAGCGAGGGCGGCAAAAGTTATTTTAGTCTAATGAGCGTAAAGCCGGCGGACATAATTTTCTTGGCGATATACAATTTGACTGTTTCGAAACTTAAGTTCGGTCAGTAAGTTCCACGAAGTTTCGCGAAATTATATATTTTTTTTAGAGGACGGGCCACGAACATTTGTAAGAAATAGAAAGAATTATTAAACGCTGTACAGAAACAAGTTCATAGTATACTGCGATAATTTAGTCATAAACAATGTTTGAAAACACATGGAAGCGGTCGAAGAGGATCGCAATTCACATTGCACGTAGAATGGTGCAGAATAAAAGCAATACAAAGCGATTCGTTTGATCTTTCTAAATATTTCCAACTTCCAATATGTGCCTAGTTCTTTTTGTAATTTTTAATATGAGCACATGCTCCCCGTGTTGCGGAGGACATAAGGTCCCAGAGGTTTCCATTGATTACCCCAGATGGAAAATAATAAAATCTTTGGCCTTGAAATTTACATATCTCGAAGGCAAGGCGTATTGAAATGACAAGAAAATTACAAGTTGCTCCCTCCATTATTAGCGTTCTTATTCCGACATTCTGTCTCGCGCTTTCTACACAGATACATAAAATCATTGTTTTTAAACGATAGATATGACATTTTAACAAAGTTTTAACAAACGGAAAACACACTGTCACACAACAAATTGTTCCATTATATTCTTATATAAAAGTTAGGTTCGTTTCTAATATACTATTTATCACGTAAAAGTATTCTTCAAGTCACGTTCCACTATTGTAGAGTTGCAGTCATGTATTTTACCTGTATGGACGTATAGCTATAATCATGTTATGTGACTGTTACTCGTATATCATTGACAATTAAAGTCAGAACGATAAACGTTGTAAACAATGCGCTGCTATCTGGCACGAGATCACAATGCTTGGCATTAAAACAGTCGAAACAAGTGTTGCTTTCCCTTTAACTTATCGCAATTCGAATCGAGCTTTTTGATATCGTTACTACACCAAACCGCATTCCATCACGAACCTTGTTTGTTATTGCAGGAAAAAAAATTCTTCCGTTGTCACTTTAGTAATCCTCTAAAGAGAAAAAGTAAAGCTAATTGAGACCATGCGAATCGTTTGTAGCGAATACTGAAGCAACGGGAATACAGACTTTCCCGCAAAAACGTCGTATAAAAAATACTCCCCCCCCCCAAAGAAAACAATATTTTTATGCTCCTGAGCTTGAGCCAAGACGTTCATCTTGGCGGGAGCGATCGTGGAAAATCGTTTCACTTCTTAATCTGGTTCATCCAAATCAAGATTGCCGCGCGACGATCCTCATTTGCTAAGCTTGTGATACGTCAAATTCTTGGCATACGGTGTTCGCGAGTTCGTGCTCAAGTAAAATTTTCCTCGATACTTGGAATCGGCTGCGAAACCCATGTGAGCCTCAGGTTTCCACGCGCAGTTCGCCTGAATCCCGGGTCGCCATTTTGGGCACCGACTTGCGGGGAACCCGTAGGGGTTCTCCACTGATTCCGCGTAATAACGCCAAGCTCGGTTGTGCCCACAGGTAACTAAACAGAAAGCGACGATACTTAGCGAAACTTTCGACGGGGATGTAGACTTACAAGTTGGACTGTGCTTCGCAAATGCGTTATTGAAGGTAGGGAATCAAGTGTTTCGAGAGAGGGAGGGATCTCGACGGCGGTGAGAGCGCACGGCTCGACACCGTAACGAGTCACTCACTGTATTGATTTATGAGTTTCCTGAAGCCCATGCGAACGATGCTCTTCAAATCGCAACCGGGCTGCCGTCTCACGCCGCCGTTCGGGTAAAAATCGACGTGACCAAGTGGATGAGGGAATCCAAAATTGCCGCCGTCAGTATGAATGACATCGACGAAGACGGCGTCAGCCCATGTCAAGTGACCGTCCTCCCCGGTATTCATGTACAACGGATAAGCCGGGTCCAACCCGGTGATTCTACCTATCTAAAAGCGCGTTTCTCAACATACACACATAACTAACATACAGTTTGTCGGTCGCGTCGATATCGCGCCTCGATTGAAACTCCCGGCACTAATGCAGTTCCGATAATGCGGCCTTCGATTAGTCGAGCGAACGTGCAATGCGGTGTAACTGGTGATCGTTATTAGCAGATCTTACAATGTCTAACCTTTCGAGGTGCCAAAGCCTTCCCCATGAAACCAGCAACTTCCGCGCCCAAACTAAAGCCGATTACATGAAGTTCGGGCAGGGAGACAGCTTTTTCTGCGACGAGCCAACTTATCATGTGCGCCAAGTAAGGTCCGATGACTTTGGCATTTCTTACGGCCGTTATGTACCACGGTAGGACCGCCAGTTTGGGCCAGTTGATCAATATCACGTTATACTGCCCACGACGGAGATAAGCTGAAACAAAGAGTGAAATTAGATTTTTTAATCAATTTTTCAATTACAAAGCAACGTATTAAACTTTGTTAAGTACCAAAGTCTTCGTACACGTAGTCAAAGACCACAGAAAAAAAAATCGTTGTTCAATCACTTGACAACTTGACAATGTAGACCACAGGAATTTAGAAAAAAGAATCTTCAAGCAGAATTTTTCTTTGTTGAACAAACAAATAAAAACGCTTCCGTCGGTCCCGCTGAAAGTTGAATTGGATCAACTTGTACGCTGAAGAGTGGAAAACTTAGTAATTTATTGTAGCACGTTATGGTGTCCACTATTTATCATCCTGACAGTACCTCTTGAGGTTTAGCAAGATAGATCCGTAGATCATGTAGTTACTAATGGATCTGGCCTATTCGCTCACACCGAACTTTACGAGCGGAAAGAAAAATCGCAAAGGCATCGCGATGACTTTTAAGAAGCTATTTGGCATTCAGAACGATACATCAGCGTGGTATCACGCGCCTACCAAAAAGCTGGAAATGCTCTCGTACATTTGTTATCATCGAAGTACGGTGAAATAAGTTCAAATTTATTTCAAAAGCTGGGGTTAGAGATTTTTCCAACTCCTTTCCCGGCGAATTTAACAAAACGCTACTGTCTTGGTGCACGTTTTGCGCAAATGATAACTTTGTAGCGTACACGATATAAGTTTATCGCTTGTAGATATTTATGCAATACGTACCATTCCGTATAGAAATAGGGCCTTTTCCTGAACTACTATCGCTGTATCCATGAATGTAAATGATTGTCGGATGTTTAACATTGAAATTGCTCTTCCGCAACGTTGTGGCATCGTTAAAGTCCAGTATATTTGGATACGTTGGATTCCGCCTGTCACAAATTAATTAATAAGAGGTAAATAGGCAAAATTTATGAAATTTAATGGGATGGACTTATTGATTTGTAGACTTGTTGAAAAAAAGTCTGCTAGTATCTTCTTAACTGGTCTAATCACTTAAACAGTCTACATCTTTCTGTGACGAGATAATAGATTAATCAAATTACCGGTTAATTATTATTAATTTCCGCTTAATATCAAGCCTAATAACCTCCGTTTTAACAATATTAAGATGGGAAAATGAGGAAAATTCTACTAAAGCGTTCGGTGTATGTACATTATTGCGTGACGGTGATTCTGATTCATGAACAACGCGTACCTGGTGTACAATAGAAATTGGACGTCCCGATTCAACTGGATGGGGCAGCAATAGAAGCACGTACCGGTGGGAAGCAGAGTCAGATGCAATATAGTGTCTCCTGTAACAAAAGTGACGAGATAATACCTTTAACAGAAATCTGAGCTAATCAATTTCAATCTTGCGATTGAGCAAGGCACGATATACGAGGGAGGGCTTTAATCGAAGAATTGTAAATCGCGAACGAATATTAAATCCAGTTCATCCCCGGTTGGTATTTATTTTTGGTCCTCGATCGAACTCGGCCAGGTTCAAGAGTCCATTCGATAGATGGACTGTTTTGATTGGCGCGTAATGCATTCCCAATAGCCGTATTGGTTCAATCCTTTACGCGTTATGCCTTCCGTATTTAAATCGTGCACAATAGCAACGATGGTCGGCCTCGACCAATCGCCGCGGTCGTCGTCATTGAACCTGACGATGGTCACGTTATGTCGCGTGTCGTACGGCCGACGGAGATCGACGGTGCGCGATACCCACCCTATCGAGGAATCCCTTTAGCTCCCCTCGTCGCGCAAACTGTTTCGACGCGGAACACGCCCACGCAGGAACATTGCTCGATTTCGCGAACACGCGATAGAACTTATATTTATCTAAAGGGTAAATATTTTTTTTCCAAGCTGTGTTAATTCCCAACATCACTGCGCTCGATCCATATAAAGTATCTTTCTTTATCTTGTGATTCACCAAGGAGATTATCTCCTTCGGTCGATTAACACTTTAATAATCTGAAACGTTTCTGAACCAATTCTAAACTATTGTGCGCAAATGAGTTAATCATCGGACGATGAGCGCCATAACTTCCATGCGAGTTGTAAATTTAGGAACGAGCATGCCAAGTTATCTCGCATTTACATCCCGTTTGATAGCAATGGCGTGTATCGACGTGACGTTAGGAAAAATGCAAAAATAATTCGCCGTTCTTTTTTCTTACTTCGGCAATGCACGTGATGCCGTGTTTTGTCGTAATTAAGCTCGCACGGAAAACGTTAAGTGGCTGTCGAGTTTGCTCATTCGGTAGCACTTCGCCAAACCCCTTAAACCCTAACCCTAGACGAGCGCCATCGCGTCGAAAATAGTTTTCATGCGAAAGTTCACATTGAACAACAGTTTTAATTATTTTACGCAAAAATTGTTGGAATACTCGCGTAGCTGAAAAGTGGAAAATGTTTGGTAGAAGCATCGTCACCAGTCGGCAGCGGATGTCGAGTTCGGAATTTTAACGCGTGACACTTGTCGACGCGCTAAATGATAAAGGCAGAACAAACAATTTTCACGATTAGTGAAAGCCTCTAAATATAATTTACGGCTCGGAGCTCGGAGATTTATTTCGCGATTGCGCAACGGGATAATTAAACACATTTTCAAGTAGCCTCTCGAGAAATGGGTCGCCGTTTACACTTTCGCCGTGATACTCATAACGCTTTTTCATGCCCGACCGCTCGCTCGAGGCATTCCACCGCGGAAACAATTATGACGGCTATATCAGTGCGAATTAACGACACTGCCGGATCTGTGGAAGAAACTTTGCGACCGAAGAAACGTTATCTTTCCCAACAAACCGTTAGTAGACGAGACGAGTAAAGGGAGGTAATATAAAGAGATTGGACTTTCGCAATGTCGGTCATCGCCTTGTACACAACCGTTATGGTAAAACGTCCGTCTTTTTATTATCGACATAATCGGCATTACTATGCAGCAACGCGCCTCCGCGATTTGCGCCGGTTTGATGACTCTGCATCGAGAATGCATTTTTCGCGGCGCGATTCTTCGAACACTGGAAGCGTTTGCGGTATCGTCGCGAAGAATACATTTTCTAACGCAATTCGAAAGAAAGAGAGAGCCATTTCCCAACGTTGCATAGCACGAGCAACGTTTATCTCGTTAAAGATTTTCTCGCGAATAAAAATCCCGCGGTGCGTTGCATTAAATTGCTATCAAGTTTAAGGGGTCACTAAGCCCGTCAACAACGACCTAAACTTTAAGGTGAAAGCAATGCGCGTCCTCAATTCTCGCACTAGTTACTCGCGGTGTGGTATAAAAAAGGGCCCGCACTTTAATTCCGCCGCGGAAAGCTCGACTTATCTCAAAAAAGCATGCTACTTGGCGTGCCGCCGTATCAGAAATTTATCGTACCGTATAGTTAAACGCGTGAATGTATTTTCCGCGGAGAATGCGTTACGCGTCCTGATTACCTGATTTCAAATCATATCGGGCATTTCTCGAGCGGATCCACGTTCCGGTTGGATGAGAAGCGATGCACACACCACATATCGTATATGGTCAAACCGGCTATTTAATTTACAATTAATTCTAACAAAGATCAATGCCACCGATGGGACGCGTGTACACAAGGAATCACTGATTGCGCATCAACACGTTTGTACATTTTGCATATACATGCATGGGAAATGTGTTTGTGTGTGTGTTCTACGTGTGCCTAAATTCATATGAGAAGGCATCAATGATTCCTAGTGTACGTACCTACATGCGAGAGCAAAGATAGAGCCGAAAACAAATGCTCCCGTTACGCTTTGAGCCGGCGTGTTTGCCAAATTTGTTTCTTGTTTAACGAATCACCCATCATCGCTAATTGCCAACGGAGTCCAGTTATATTTGTAGCACTTTTGTTACTCGTCAGAGTCGTTAGTATAAATCACACCGGCGCGCCGTTCATGACGTCGCCTATTATTAATGAAACGGAATTGCACTTAACACGATCACGTGCGCCTGCGTGGGAAATTTACGCGAGTAATTGCCCGATCTAGTTTTCATCCTGTGCTGGTGGTTAATAGTTTTTTTGCAATGTTAAATATACAAACACTACTTCTTACATCTATCACTCATATCGTCTAATAGAGTTATAATTGCACGTTTCGATATAATGATTATATATAAATTATAAATGCGTAATAGTATAAATTATTAACACACAAACACACAAAACCATTAAATATCATTATTGCGCGCAGTATTGAGACACGTGGCATTTGCGTTGTAACTCGCTTCATGAAAAATAACTGGCACTCGCGGAAAAATAGAAGAAATATCGAGTAATTTTGCACTGATTTGAATTTTGCAATTTACCTCTTCGAACAATATACAATTGACAGAGCATTGGCACCAGAAAAGATGGGATCATTGTCGAGTACCCGAAAGTCTCGAATGGCGCGCTGCACTAAAGGCTTTTACAGTATCGCCTTGCACTAGATACTAGAGGAAACTGGTGGGAATCAGCAGTAGCTGATCGTTTTGTAGCGCTCCCATACCATCATCTCGCGTGAGCATAACGATCTACTTTTCTCCGTTTTCGAAATGCGAACTGGTGATACAATGACATTACACCGGGGAAAAAAAATTATATATCAAATGAAATGATTCTAATTATTGCACTTCCGGTGTTTGTGACATTTTTCACGTCGTTGGGTCGAGAACAAAGTGCCTTTTTTTATTTGTACCATGAGACTGTTCTTATTTAGAGGCAAATGACCTTCCGTCATGCAAGCATCGTGCAACAAAGTATACGGCTTCCTAATAATTGGATATTTCCCTCGCGCAGAAAATTAAACTAAATCTATTTATGTAATATCGTGATAACAGTTAATTTCGTCTTCTCTTTCAGGACAAGTTGCTGACCAAATTAGAGGAGAACGAACCAGAGTTGGCATCTTCGCAGGAAGATGAGGTAAGAAGCGAATTGAAAGTGGTAGGAAGAAAGCAGGTTTTCTCAGAAGGCACATTTGCAAGCATCGCAAGTCGTCTAATCGACCATTCCGAAATGGCGAAATAAAATCGAATGGCGAAATTTCCCTTTCTAAAGATTATTCGAGATTGTCACGGATGTAATTACTAAAAGAACTCGTTCTTTCCGCCTGAATCGGCATCGATCGACATAATCGCCATTTCTTTCGGTTTCTTTCAATTCTACGCTTCACTTTTTGAGATATTAAAGATGAACGCTGCTCGCACAGTAGATAATCACAAATCTAACTCTTAACATTATTGACATACATTCTCTATATTATTGGCGAATGAATGAAATTTCTTTCTAAATATAGATACAATATAAAACACTTTTTAGCGACTAGACCGAAGTCTCCGCTACGTCAGCATAAATCGAAATTAGTCGGTAAAAAGGAGTTTAACGGAAATTACATTTGCATATAACACATGTAAATTAAATTGCGCGTGCGTGAAATTGAAGCTATTCCTTTCGTTAAAACTTTCATGGTTATCCATTTGGAAAATGATGTTATACAAGTTATACAAATAGCCAATGTAAAAATATGCGAGCTATATTTAAAAATATCTTCTGGGTTACCAAATTTAGTAGAGTAAACCCTAGTCTATAGTGTAAACATTATATGGTTCCGTGGAGTTGACTGGAGATGCTGTACATCTTCTCGGTTCGTTGCGTTACGTTACGCTAGATTGGGCCAATTAGGCTGTATGGCGAAGAAAATGACGATAACAGAGCACCTGTATCGCGCAAAATATAGCCAGTCGCCCGGAAAAGTCGCAATTTCCGAACGAATTGGCCGTCCAATCGGTCGCAAAAGTCGATTAACGGCGACGACGACGACGACGACAAAGTGGCGGTTACAACCCTTCGATTCCTGACGTGTTCGCCCACCCTCCCGACTCGAGCTATTAATATTTCGATTAAAGTGACGCCTAATTACGTTACATCGATTATGGTAGCCAATCGCGTCCGTCTCGATCACTAAACAACGCCGCGTTACATCGTGCGTCCTGGGATTTAATGACATTATACCTGCCAGCGCGTAAAACACAGTGCAAACAAAATAAGAGTCACGCGTGATAAATGTGAATAAAAGCGGCAGCGATCTCCCGTTTCTTTACTCGTCTTCAATTTTTTCTCAATCCGCCGATAGCCAGCATTATACATAACGTGCGATTATCAATAAAAATCCATTTAATATTGTTACGTGTGTTCAACGAATGCCTCTTGTTACTTTCTTTTTGTTTTCAGTGCGTTATATGTGTGAATGCGAGGGCGACGATGCAAACTGCACCGTGTGGACATCGAGTGGTGTGCAGGTGAGTGAACGAGTTTAAAATAAACGCAGCTTTCCACGTTACTCTACATTTTAAACGCGCTCTGTATTTTCTTCTTATTACGCCGGCAGCTCGAAATAAACAGTAATTATTTTTCAAGTCGGCACTGCGGCGCCGTAATATATTTTACACGTCGGGGGAAGCGGTTCTTTTAATAAAGTTGTCTTGCTTCACTCTCGTCTCCCTCGTTTTGCAGACGCTGCTTCGTCAAGACGATACAAATGGCGGTGTCTCAGAGGCTCTTGCCGTTGAGATGCGTTATATGCAGAGCGAAGATTCTACGGCTGAAACAGACTCTCATTCCGCGTGACGTAAGTGACGATACTTTGCGGGCGTTTCAGCACGGATGGATTTCTCGCATCCGTGTGTACGCGCCAATTACTTTTTCCTCCTCTACACACTTTACGTCCGCTCTAAACATTTCTCGAATGAGATTAATTTTACACGTTCTCATCCCGCGTTTCACTCGTGTACAAATCAATAAGTTTCACGTCTATGACACGGTCGCAACGAAATCGCTGCTAATTGGAGCGGATCCTCAAACGGCCAATTTGTACAGAACGCTTCGTATTCAAAGATAATCGAAATCGTTAACAAAATTGTTTTATATTCCTTTTCAAGCGCCACTTATGGTACATATCCTATTCTTTATGTAGTTAAGTGTCAGATGTGCTCAATTATTTATTAAAGTGAGTTGTGCGCGCAAAAATGAAACGTAGACACATTTTCATGCCGACATGTCATAATCTAGCCAGGTCTTCGGTCTGGCAACAATGTTTGACGTGCCGATAATCGTAACCACTTGAGATATATTTCGCTTGGAGCAATACGAATCGATTATGCACTGTGAGATTATTTTGGCTTGTAGTATTCGATGTCGGGTAAATCCTGGGTACTCCCGCAAAGTGCGTCGGAGTACAGCATGGGCACAAGCGTTACAGCCGGCGTGTCCGGGCCTGGTGGCAGATGGGGAACCGGGAGCGTACCAGCCTCTGCTTCCTTGTACTCGATGGCCAGCGGTTCGTCCTCCATTTCTGGTTCGTAATAAGCTCCGCAGATTGCTATTTGTGTATACAATTTAGTGCGGGAGAGGCATTAAGTATATTACAAAGTTTCGAATCTGTATTCGCTCACGTAGGAGTGTCTTCCGTCTCTTCGGCAACTTCCTCGTCCGCGCATAGCACCGGAAGTTCTCTCGGCAAACCAACGAGGGTACGGCAACCCACAGGCGCCACTCTCAGACGTTCCCAGGCGCAATCGATGAAAATGCGAATTCAGGTTAGCAGTTTATCATAATGTTCAACGTAAAGTACACTACACATACAATTTCAATCTAACGTTATGGCAATCTAATCCCGCCGAAAATCCAAAATTTGTAGGAGTACCAAGATCCGCTTCAAATCACTGAAGAAGAGGAGATCTTGCGGGACAACCGAGAACGTCGATTGCCACCAATCAAAGAGTTCCAGAGGGACTACCGTGCTGGCAAAGCCTCCACTAGAATCAGGTATCTTTGGGGTTGTCAATTTTATTTAGCAATCGCGCGAGAGATTCGTCAAAGAACAGATTCGTGATGCGATTGACGTGCATTTGCAGATGCGCTCAAAAGATCGTAACGCAGCTGGAAACATCGCCGAGCCCAAGAGGCACATCCGCCATCACAACATCGACGTCGTCGGCATCGTCGTGCGGCCGCGCCGCGCCTAAGCGACCGGCGGCGGCGCCGAAGATGTCGGTGGTCCAGGAAGTGCAGAAGTCGAAGAAGGAGAAAGAGCGGGAGAAGGAGCGAGAAAAGGCGGAGAAGGCGCGGCAGAAGGAGGAAGAGAAGGCAGAAAAGACTAGGCAAAAGGAGGCGAAAAAGCTGGCGAAAGAAGAGAAGAAAAGAGCGAAGAAAGAAGCGAAAGCACGGCGAAAGGAATCTGAGGAGGCCCCTCTCTTGAGGGACGAGAAGTAAGGTCTGACTGATCGTATTAAAATCTCGAGGAAGATTTCGAGACATCGATCGCTGTGATACAGATATCCTGAAGAGTTCTCGACGACTGACGGCATTTTGTGATATCCTGTATCCACAGAGGGTCGATAATATACATAGGATGAGTTACGGACGTTCGTGTAATTACGAAGACAAATGGAGCACCGTAAATGACATCGCTCTGATGCCTCTTGAAAATTCCAGCAGCCAGCTATCGACTAATGAACATGGCCTAGCGCGAAAACGGTTCTCCAAGAAACGAATACTTGGCGCGATTGTAGAGGTCCCGTTTGTTAATAAATCCAACACGCGTATGGTTCCTTAATTTCTTTAGCGAAGCTATAACAGCTAACGCCAAGAAGTCGTTTTGAACAGTTCGTAACTCATCCTGATTTTCTCGTCATCTTAAAAGATAAGTTCGCGAGAAGGCGATGAGAAGAAGTAATACCTAAAAAAGAAAAAAAACTCTAGAAGCGGCCAAACTTAGTAACCTGTCATATCGAGTTATCGCGGACTAATACTATTATCGATAGGAAAACTCGAGTATAGCGCTACAATCTTTAGAATTCAAGCGAATTATTTCAACGTTATACCCTTACTGTCACGATTTTATTTATTATGAGATCATCTTCTACAACTTGTTTGAGTCATCCTGCCAAAATCTGCCATGAGATTTTTATTTAGTCCGAAGTGATAACCCCTTAGAGTTAATAAATACGATGCGCAAACACTGATCTCTACTGATTATACGAACGATCATCGCAAAGGTATACTCAATTCATTTGTGCGACAACCATTCTCATCGCAGCATTTAATCGTCGATCGTTTTTGCAATAATCGATTCCACTCCTCTAGTCAATTCAAACTAGCCATCATGTTCTCGTCTAGTCAGAAAAAACACTCGACTTTCGATCTCTCTCCTTTTACCCTCGTCATATTACAACATTTCATCTCATTGTCAGCAGAGAATCGCACGGAGCGAAATGCTTGCAAAACATAAGAAGTTTTTCTATTTTATTACCCGGGAAAAAATTTTCACATATGATCATATGTAATCATATATGCTCATATACGAAAAATGTCCATATATAAGATACCATGTGTATCATATATGATCATATATGATAATGTGTTTGTCATATATACTGTCATATATGACAAACATGTGTATCATATATGATCGTATATGATAATGTATTTGTCATATATATTGTCATATATGACAAACACATTATCATATACGATCATATATGATACACATGGTATCTTATATATGGACATTTTTCGTATATGAGCATATATGATTATATGTGATCATGTGTAAAAATTTTTTCCCCGGGTAGTAACCTAGTAAGACAATTTTTAATGAATTTATATACTTTTAATGTTTCAACGCGTAAAAAGGGTTTATTTTAGAATGTCAAGGAGGTCCAATATACAAATTTACGTATTTATAACTTGTAAAACAAAGCTCAAAATTTTGCAACTGAAACAAAAAAGAATGCAAGCATTTTTTTCCGCTTTCGCATTCTCCCGTATTAAATACTCCTCCCATCTACCATAGGTTGTAAATACACCCGCCAGATTTCACAAGCGGACATGAAGGACTTTCGTGCCGCGTGCAAAGCCGTATAAGCCGCGTACGAGGGTAGCCTAATAAGATCGATTTGTTAAAATGCGCGAGAGTATACCTAATATAACGAAGTATAGAGAGTCTTATATATAGTACACAATATACACAATTTATAAATATATATATATTATATATTATAAATATAGGCAGAAAACAGAAATTTTTGAAACGCAGCGCGTGTCTCGTTACTGTTCGTGAATTCGTAGGCTCGTAGTAACTCCCGTTATCGATTACACTCGGTTCAACTTTTTTTCCCCTGCTCGAAAATTCACGGGCAACTATTTTAACGCAATTATTAAACGAACGAAGCAATTAATTAATGAAATCGCTATACTATATGGCGTATAGTAGATTCCTCATACAGTGTTTTAAAGACAGCAGAGTTAAATGAGAATTACGCGCTGATAGCTTTAACGACAAAAACCCCCTGTGTCGTCGACACACACAAACACACACACACACACACACACACACACACACACACACACACACACACACACACAACGCGCGCGCGTGTGGTACACAGACAATTTTTCAACTTTAGATTCCGCCCTTGATCTCGATTGTCTATCGTCTTGCAAGCAGAGTTTGAAAATATCATGATATTTATATATACATCAGCTATTTATGAAAAATCAAAAGTATTATGATATATATGAATTACTTCATACTCTTCGCCATTAAATTTGTATATGGTAGAATCTATATTGATGCTTCTAAAAGGATAAAAATATTTTTAATAAAAAGACATTGATTTCTTAAATCAATTTAAATTTACGACATTTAACATTTAGAAAAATATAGAATGTATTTTATTATTACATAAAATATTAAATAAATATTATTAATAAGTAGTAACAGTAAGCCGTCAATACTCAAAATGCAAAGTAGTAAACTGCAAGCACAAAACACGTTGATTAACTAATTAATTTTTATAATAATTTATCGAATAAATCAAACGATATATGTATATCGCGATGTACGTCATGATATTTATCTATTGATATATATCCCCGAACTCTGCTTGCAAGACTTCCGTAAGCAGCCGAAAATCAAAAGCAATTTTTTTACAAAGTCTCTACGTCAAAACGACTAACTGTAAGTCTCGATATCAAAAAGATCAATGAGTAGGAAAGTAGTCCGATGCGAGGATCTATCTCCGACAGGTAGACGACAACTAAGGCGACAGAAAATTCAATGTTATTTTCAGCGATGCATTTAATAGTAATGGCGGTTTGATAATAATGACAATACTTCTTTTGTAACCGAAAGAAAGCGCAGGCGAGAGTGAAATCTTTCGAAAACCATGAGCTGTTTTACGAGCTGTCACGTCAGAATAGCGGGACGGGTGAGAAAGTCTCAAATACCGTTTCTTGTCTTTTCGTTAATTCGCTCTGTGGAATCGAGCTCGATGCAGTTTTAACACGAATAAAAGAGAATCAAACATTGGACGGTATTTTAATATGCTGCGATATAAAATAGATAGAATCGTAAGACATGAACCATATCCGCCTAAATTTCAGTATCTCAAATTGTGGAATTGAGCGTAATTTGAATTATGCAACAAGTGTAGAAACAAAGTATCGTTTATTCTCGTAAGCTTTTGTCATACGAAAAAAATTACATAAAAAGTGTTTAATTCTTTGAAACTCATCAAATGGTATGGTTCAACGATTTAGAAATCAGGTAGACGCGATGAAAGTAGGCATTGCCGAAAAGACGAATGCTGTTGCATCTTCGAAAAGAATTGGATTTTCAATATGTATACCAAAAGCGATCGGGCACATATCATTAGTAACTAGTGGATTTTAATTAGCGTCTTCGTTTGAACCGCATTGCGCCGCTCCAAGAAGATCCAATGTTCCCATCACTGTGAGGTGATGCCATGCCGGTAGGATGAAATAATTAAACGAATATAATAACGAGCGACAATGAGGTTAATGCGACAACGCTGCTAATTAGCGTGTAATGTTAACCGTCAATTATTATACTTGCTGCATCGATCCCAACTGTGTACGAGCCCGACTCGTACGGCGTACTCAATAATCAAAATAAGCGCACGAGCAATGTGGATTCTCGACTTATAAATACTACATATAGTATCAAATCGAAAGAAGAAACGTGAAGATAAAAATTCACAAATCAGAAAATTCTAATTTTATATTGATTTAAATTCTCTACATTGATGAAAAGCATCTGTAGAAAAAATGTAAGGGCCTCGATATCTTGTAAAGAGGGATGGAAAGATTTTTTTTAACTGAAGTATAGGCAGAGGGTCACCATCGTAAGAGGTCATTAAACACTTAGAATTTAGGGCATTTTCCTCACAGCTTACGCGAATACGAGACTTTCTCGAATCCCGACGGAAACGAAGGGAATTGCGAGTGCTAAGTACATTAACAGATGTTTGGAATGCGAGAGTTATGACGGGAGGAAAGCGCGAGGGTGTCTTCTGCCACAGTAAAGTCAATTTTATTGAGCGCAACGCGTACACGCAATGGTGAATTTGCGGGCAATATTAAGCTGCGACCTTCGTGGCAGCGAAATCAATGCGATTCGATTTCTCAAAGTCACGTTAACAAGAAATGCCTATGCCCGCAATGAGATTCTACCGGGATAAAAGCGCGGAAACGAAACACGAGAATTTCGTTGGACGTACCTCGCGCAAAGCTCTCGAATCTCTTCGATACAAGCGACTTGTTAATTTCATAAGAAACCTTCAACTATACTAAGATGGAATTTGAAGAACGTGCATATAAAACATAAGAGCTAAACTTGATCAAAATAACACAATCTTGTGCAAATTTTATGAGGCTGAAAATAATTATTGTGCATAAAATTATGAACACGAGTCAAAATTATAAAAAGAGCAAATTAAAAGCAAATAGCATTTCAATATACCCAAATATGTACAATGCAAAAGTGTCCGTTTTACTATTGTATCTAATATTTTCGTTATAGTTGAGGGTTAACGATGAAAGAGGAAAAAAATGTGAAAAAGAGGAGACAATGTAATCGTTGGCAATAATCTTCGAGCTAAGGAGGACAAACGTGTAGACGAAAAGAAAGTTTGATCTGTGCGATAGTACGAAACACGTATCACAGCTAAACGTAACGAGGACGACTTTATTGTACTTAATTACATAAGGCAGAATTTGTAGACAGTTTATATTAGGCCGACGTTGACACGGTGAGCCTTGTCCTATGAATAGGATGAGACCCAATTGTCGTTTCCAGTTTCAACATAATACTTAACTTGGTTTTATCTTTTCAAAAAATCTATTGAGGATTTCTACTTTGGCCGGAGCTGAGTAAAGCTAAACGTTGCCTTCCGTTCGAAAGAGGAAAACTATGCGGTACCATTTTGTGTTTCTTCCCAAATTTTTTGCAACGATAATTCTTTCCTTCGAAATCCACAAAACAAAATGTCAAAAACCGTATATTTATGTAAGCGAAATCAAGGGGCGAGTTGCACAAAATCAAAATAGTCCGTGGTTGAACATGCCGGGGACATTGGACGCGAAGTAACGTAGGAAAAATGTCATAATCATGTCTTACGCTCCTCGATTGACACTTGCACCAACACTCATTATATGCGAGGCGTGTTGGAAGACGACAAACTGATAACGATATATTAGTAACGAACGTTTATATCGTAGCGAATAAGCGCTAACAATTAGAGAACGAATAGCGTTTTCAGTTCATCTACTGCTATACTGCGAGCTTCTTAGAAATTTTCAAGAGGCGATGCCCTCTTTTCTCTTCTCGAATGTATACAGTATATCCTCGACTGCATCTCGGATCTCATCGACTCGCGCTTGACAAATAAGACGAGAGATATTTAAAAAAAGAGGCTTGAGCGGTTGATTTTATCGAGTCTATTTTTAGTAGTTTTGTTCAAAGACTAAACAGACGAAGGGAGGGAAAAAACGAAACTTATAAAAGATTATATTACGCGATGTGTTGCGACCTGTAAGAACCGATAATGGATATACAACAAATCAAATAAAACGTTACGATGAATGTTAGCCCAACCAGAATTATTTTTCTTATTTTCATCCCTTTGTCTCCTCCAGTACAATGCGATTTATGCTGCACAACAAGCGTAATACATTTGTCTCGTACTGAGAGTTATTGTAACACCGTATATTATCACATTCGTTGTCGTCTGAATTCGTCTCGAAGATCTACCTTTACCGTTTGAGACAGTTTCTATGTTCATGATTCCTATCGTGCTTCAGCAGAGGACGTGTTTATAGATCTCTTAGTCCAAAGTGTGCACAGTGTCTTCTTTAGTTTTGACACATTTCTAGATTACAGCACTCGCGGAAAGGTTTTAACCAATAAGAAAGAAAAATGAAATATTTTGCCATCTATTTCGCCGTGTATTTCGTCAAGATTCCAAATGCGGCTGCGATCGAAGGTATTTAAATATAAGTCATATTGTGAAAGAACCGTCTCTCTGTCAAGTGTTGTCGCAGCCATGATTCAGGAGATTACAAGCGTAATTCATGAAATTTCATGATATGTCATCTCGTATCGCACTCGTTCAAGGACGCAAGATTAATCATATTCCATCCGCATGACACGTGAAAGCTTTAAAACGATAATCTATGTGCAATAATAAATGTGCAATAATCATTCTTATTAAACTTGTTGGCAAATCGATCTTTCTTTCTCATTTGTATAAAAACGTGAGACTTATTTTCCGGTAGATTAACGTTTATTTTTAACTCCTTACCGTATCTGCATGAAATATATCTGTCAAATAAGGAAGGCTATTGAGAGCATCGTCGTTTCTGACGCAGACAGCCGACACTGGCACCAGTTGGCAAACAAAGAACTCGAAGAGTCTCTTTCGTACCATTGGAACGTGAAAAGGGCGAAAAACGTGATTCTCTTTGTGGGGGACGGGATGAGTCCGGACACCATAACGGCTAGCAGAATTTATCGTAATGGCGAGACCAGTCGACTCGCCTGGGAACATTTTCCCCATATCGGGATACTAAAGGTTTCGATGGGATTTTACGTGACTCGCATTTTAATTAATGTCTTCTATGTAAGAGCTTCGCGTTCGAATGTATCTTTTGCTGATAATGCAGACTTACAATACGGACAAACAAGTTCCTGACTCGGCTTCCACCGCTACCGCTCTCTTCGGGGGAGTCAAGACGAATTACGAAGTCGTAGGGGTGGACGCGAATGTACAATTAGGGGATTGCGAGGCAAGCTTGAATGCGAATTTTCACGTGGATTCGTTCATAGCGTGGGCCCAAGCAGCCGGTAAAGCTACAGGTCGGTTCTGATAACAATATGCGTTTAGAAAACGATTGTCTCCTCGCGCCACATATTTTTATATAAATATAATAATATATTATTCAAAAGCCAGTTCTTCCCATTATTACTTTTGAGCTATTAATCTTTTCCTATATTTATTAATTTGTACAAAAATGTGCACATATCACAATTGCTACGTGTTAAGAATTTTTTTGAAAAATCTAAGACAAAACTACAACCGAAAAATTTTTTAATATACTTATAAACGCATCTATACATTTTGTTAAGTGTAATATAATTGAACGCAGGCTTTGTGACGACTACCAGAGTTACTCACGCAACTCCGGCGCCGCTTTATGCGCACTGCGCAAATCGCAGGTGGGAATGCGAATCCAAAATGCCTAAGAACACTAGTGCCTGCAAAGATATCGCCAGACAATTAGTAGAAGACGAGCCGGGGAAAAACATTCGAGTAAATAGAAAATGACTTTTCTGTCTTGTTTAATTGCAAGATGAATAAATAACGCGTTTATCGTCTTCTAGGTGATTATGGGTGGAGGTAGACAAGTGATGAAATCGAATGTGAGCGCAGACGAATTTGATCCGATAGATAAATGGGCTTGTTACAGACAAGACGGTCGCGATCTCATTGATGAGTGGATAAAAGATAAGTCCGGTAAGAACTTGGCTTACAAAGTCGTGCAAAACAATGAAGAATTATCCCGGGTCGATGTCGAGAATGTGGATTATCTGCTCGGAATTTTTGCCAACGGTCACATCGAGATGGACTGGAAACGAGAGCGAGGTCCGAAAGGACAACCAAGTCTGGAAGAAATGACCGTGGCGGCTTTACGAATTTTGCAAAAATCCAAGCAGGGATACTTTTTAATGGTACGATTGTAATTCCGGTTAATGCTGCGAGAGAAAGATCAATACGACTGCTCTTTCAGGTCGAAGGTGGCCTGATCGATTTCGCTCATCATCGCGGCCACGCCGCTCAAGCGCTGCTGGAAACAGTCCGATTTTCGGACGCCGTTAACGCCACCCTTAAAATGATCAACTCTGACGATACCCTCGTGATAGTCACGAGCGATCACACGCACTCGATGAGCATTAATGGATATAGCCCTCGAGGTTCATCCATTCTGGGTGAGAATCAAAGTACGGTGGAGTTTTTTCGTTTCTTCTTACGCGAGAATATATTTTAGGAATCGCTCAGAAATCGAAACACGATGGAGTACCCTACACGACCTTGTCCTACAGCACGGGTGGACCGAACAATGTCGCTTATACCGTGAATGGCAGTCAAGCCGCCAGAATCGATCCTTCCAAATCGAACACTAGCAATTTTACTTACAGTCAGCAAGCTACAATCGTATCGGATGAAGCTACTCACGGTGGTGGAGACGTAGCTGTGTACGCTATAGGTACATCAACGATGTCTAATTAGGGATTATAGTACGGAGATTGTAGCTAGAAGGCTTCGGGTTTTCAAAAGCCGTTACCTCTTTGATTGACTTAGAAATTTCTGGAAAGAATCGCCCTGAGTAATGAATCCTTAAAAATGTCTTGGGTCTTCTTTGCAGGCCCGTATGCGCATCTCTTTCATAGCGTGCACGAACAGAACTACGTGGCACATGTCATCGCGTATGCCGCGGGTATCGGCGAGTACTCCAGCAACGCAGGAATATCGCACATTCGGAACGCAATGACTTTAAGTGCCGGTTTTATCTTGGTTTCAACTTTGGCTTTAAACGCATACAAATAAATCTGCAAAAATAATAAAAGTATTATCAGTTTCATTTATTTTTCGGTAGAAAACAATATCGATAGGTACGATCGCTAAGAGGCGTATTTTTAGAACTTGAATCTCTACGCATAAAATAACTTTTATCGTGTGTAATTAAAGTGGCATTGCAAGTAACCGCGAGATATCACTTGTACCCACACCATCACAGATCGAACTAACTTTCAATGAACATATCAAGCGTCCTATAGCTTTCGTTTCTCCTTGTCGGAACAGGACAACTTTACAAACCCACCTACCATTATATAGTATATACATATAGCATTCGCACGTTTATTTACATTACAAACACATACGTTAAAAATAATTCTCAGTCTTATGCTGTAGAGGACAAAGATATTCGCAATACTTGCTTCACAAGGTCGAAGAAACAGTCCTCCGAGGTCCGCTTGAGAACGATAAAAATAATGCTTCCGCTTAAAACGTTATTGCACATGTGCATACATTATAGCTCATAAAAAAGTGTTTTCTTCGCAGTGCGTTCTATACATCTATGCATCCCTGCTTAATGATTGTAACAACTTAAAGAGAAAGAGTAAATATATGAAACTGGTGATCAGGAACGCTATGTGAAAAAGAGGAAATGGAAGAGGTTGTCGGAGTTTCATCAACACAAACGTGTTAATACATGTTAATGTCGTATTGATTGTGCACAGAAGGTAATATTTGATGCCACGTAACATAGATGAACACGCAGACTCCGAGAATGCGGAGTCTTGTCTGTTTTTCCTATTGTCTTATTGTCTTTAGGCGATAAAGCGACAACAGCGGAAACGGAAGATCACTGCACCTTTTTCCTCTCGCACTTCTGGATGCCGTATATTACAGTTCCGTGTAACAATATTTTAAGTGCGATACCGCCGAGGAAGAGTAGCGAGGTAATCAGGAAGATGAAACCCGGGGTATACTTGCCGAAAATTGTCAGGCTGCACAGAACCATCATCTGGAAGACGAGCAGCAATGGCACGAGATACACGGCCGCAGTCAGATAGCGCGAATGCTTGCGTTTAGGTTTTTTGAACCTGTTGAACTTGGTGGCAGGTTTAGCAGGATCGTCGTTCGATTCTGCTGTTGCTTTTTGTGCGTCGATTGGTTTCTTGATACGAATTCCATTGAGTACAAATTGGCGCAAATTTTCGTATGTGACCAGGAAACTAATTGTAATCTCCTGAAGAAAATGGCTGAGGCAGCCGTGCATCTTGCGTACTATCGGATGCGACTTGGAATTGTCAAAAGAGTAAAGAAGATACGGTAGCAGGTTGAGATTTTGGCAGCAATGGCGGATCTTCTGCATCGACGGGTGTCGGAACAGCATCGGAGGCCCGCTGTAGTTTCCATCTGTCGTTGGGAAAGAGGAGAATATTTAATCAGTGCCAGCGGCATTACGTAGTTACTATCATTCGCGAGCCGAAAACATCTTTATTACATGATATTCCAACTACACATGTAATTTGCGCGATAAGAGAGACAGACCGTCGAGATATTATTTAATCAAATGTAACTTCCATTTGGAAAACAGCCCAAGTTTTCATAGTTATTCGGTTCACAAGTATTCCTACAAAGAAAGGGCTAGGACCGCGAAAAAGATAATGAATGTTTTGTTTATTTACCCTTAAACATGTCGGATACTCGTCTGACGAGAGTTGGTTTCCTCTTTAGGCCGTCTTTCTGCTCCATGATCCCCGACATCTGCGACGTTTCAACACGAGACTCGAAGACCGTGTTCGTTTTATCTGTGATCAGGAATCGATGCCGTTCTTTTATCCTCGCGTAAATTTATTTTCCTTCAAGGAACACTCGAATATCACCTGAAAAACACAACTACATTAATAATAATTATACAAGAGTGAAATATAAGAGGTAAAAAGGATAACTAATTTTTTTAAGATTTTTTCCCCTTAAGACAAGATTAAATCGAATAAAAGAGACTGGTGGGAAAAACTAGTCGATTACCGATCGCCTTAAGCGACGACGAGAACTCTTGGAGATCACCAGCGAGCGTTTCGGCGAGTACTGAGCAATTTTCGTCATTCGCGCAGTTAAAGTTGCGTGGTTTAAAAAAAGGCGTCACGATCCGATAGCCTGTCGACCCGAGATTAATTCCTTGGTAGCAAAAATTTTGCGTGGCTTAGCAATCGCGAGAAATATGCATGTATAGTTTGTTCGATTACATTTTTTTTTCTCGAAACTGTTCGACGAACTGTTTTTGAAACCTTTAACCCTGGACTACATCTTACCCTGGAAACTCGCGCTCAATTCTTATTAAATATTAATATTTTAAACTTAGTTAATTGAAATCTATATACAAATTGTTTATTGCAAAATGCAAATTTATACGACAGATTGTAACGTAATTATTAACTAAATGTAAAATTAACTTTATTAAATTACCAAAATATTTTGTCTCTACGTCTTTCATTAAGGACTGCTCAGAAATGTATAGAGATATATCTTTATAAAATTGGCCATGGCAAACGAGTTCAGTCATAACTATACGTATATACATGTTTACACTTTCGTGAGGCAAGTTAAAAAATATATTAATGCATGCACGAAACATTCTCGCTGCTCGCTAGCAAAGTGGATTAGAAGCCTTGTAAGTTTGAATAATTTAGTCGGACAGATTCAACGTGACGCAACTTTTTCGCGTAAATAGATCAATTCACGCAGCTATACGAAACCGGTTTTAAATAATCCACACCAAATTACAATAAAAATTATGTTATTTACAATTATAAATCATATGTGAATATATGTTATTTAAACGATAAGTAAATGTTAAAAGGCAAATAAGTTAAAGTATACTTGAAATAAGTAATGGTACATGAAACAGCACGTAAGTAAGATGCATCCAAATAGCAAAGTTTGAACTTAAACGGGAAACCAATTAGATCACGTAATAATTTTGCTTAGACTAATAATTTAAATAGTAATTACGACAAGTATTCTTGTATATATGTAATACGGTTTAGATTTTATTATTGACGTAACAAACTACTCATTATACAACGTTACTAAATTAAAGACCAGGATGTGCTATAAACAAATGTCTATCTGCGATACATTCTTGGCGTGAAGCACAGTTTCAGTTGACCCCATTCGAGTTAACGCTGATTGGAGTAACACTTTAAATCAAATGAAATAGAGCAAAAGTTCTATCAAGAATAAATGTTCTCTATATTTCCATGAACATTTTGATAAGTTGAGGTAATTCTGTATAATTACTCACCTTGGCGTCAGCGTAACGGAGGATTTGGTGTCTGTTTCCCAGCTTCCTCGTGCCTGTCTCGTGCAATTCAGGAATGCAATTTCGAGAATAACCGAGAACTAACTGTACTTCCTGTACAAATTGAAAACTATTGGAAATTCACGAAATATGCCCATTCTTCGCGACGTCTCGCCAAACGAACGTTTGCGATCAATAATGCAACACGCGGATGTGAGAGCTGTTGGTACTGCGTGGAGTATGTTACGTTTCGATGCTTGCTCGGCTACTAAACCGGCTTCGGTCGTGCCAGCTAACAACTATCAGCCGTTCATCCACCTCTACCGACTCCGAACTCATGACCCTGACCAGCTACGCGAACCAGTCCAAATGGCAGCTTCCATCGGAGCCGACGCCGGATTGGCCGATGGCACCAAACTCGGAGGGTCGAGATGTATTTCCCGCGTGAAATACCCAGAAAGAGGAAAAAGGTCATCGACGCGTGGAAACGCGTGCACGGCCGCGAGCAGACGAGCCGTTCGTCACGCACACATTCGTTCCCCCTCGGTCTCGGTGTTACAGGCCTCGAGAGGCCTAGACTTGATTGATACCCACATGGTACTATTGATGGAATTACACATTTACGCAATGGAAACAGGGAGGTTGCGTCACCGTCGACTTCCAACATTAAATTCCAAAGTTGAGGGAAATTGCCAATGCGTCATTATCAATTCCATTGAAAAATTCACCGGTTTATTTGAAAATGAAATAAAATTAGAACTCTTAAACTGTTCCGTGAGATTTCGTCAATTTTGGAGCCATGTTCTTCCAAATATTCTATTTTAATGACAGTGAAGTGAAATTTTCTCCCGCGAGATAGAAAGAACTGCGAAAACACATGTGAACTCAAATGCACACAAACTGGTCATCAGCTTGAATCCTACGCAATACCTGACAAATTGCATAATAATTAACTGAAACCGGTTTCTAAGTGCATTGCATAAATATCAATTATGTATTAGAAAGCTGTTTTTTTAATAATGATATTCTTTTGTTTTAATGCAAAACTTATATTATTTTTTTGCTTTTCAATGCTTTTCAATGGAAATACCCGAAACCAATCAGGCAAAACCTGTCTTGAAACAAACATGTATGTGCAGCTACCGAGGCCGTTAAGGTTCACGGAGATCCCTCCGTAGAACCGACGTATCGATTCTGCCTGTTGAAACCATGTAAAGAATGCGTGATCATAAAAACAAAAAACCAAAAAAAAAGAAAAGAACCGAGGAAAGATAATTTTATTCAATTTCGTTAAGTACACCGTGATAATGATATCGTTAATAAACGGAATTTTTCGGTAAATTGACATACTGATTTCGCAGAAAGAAGAAATACATGTCATTTCATTGACCTCGCTTTTTTCAAGGCTTCTCGACACGCATGGAGCGCGACGCGAATGCGTGTTCTCCGATGGCTGTTTGACAGATGAATCCCTAGACCGTTTTACAATGTAGACAAAACAATGTCGTTAATGATATCTTATAAATACAGATGTCGTTTTTTTTTCTCTTACAATGATTCAATCTCAGACTTCCGAAGCGTCATACAAGAACCAATGGTGGAAAGTTACCACTAATCTAATTTTGATAAAAACAATTTTGCTCATAAATTTTATTCAATATCGTATTTACGTAAACATAGTACAGTATCGCACAGAGTATCTTTCCAAAATATCACTTATATAAATGTAGTCGCACAGATAAGCAACATTGAAAAGGAATTTGGTACCGAAGCTGATTGAATTATCATATGAAACGGCGTAAAAAAGCACGTGTTTGTAACGTGCCAGTTTATTTGAATTAGTGTATTTATAACCCGTTAAAAATCCCGCCTTTTAATTTAACGATAAGATAATAATGTAACGGTTTTCTACAAACATCTATACATTTGTTTGCTTGAAGAAGTTAGTTAATAAACAATCACTTGCATCTGTTTAGATTGGTAGTCGATTTATCCATGTTTTACAAATTGGAACTGTAAATTTTACCACCATAAATATACATGGAAAATACCATCAAAATGTTTTTTATATCTGTTATTGTAATTATAATTTTACGACAGGGATTAATTCGCTGACGCATCGCATATTTTGACATTAAAGTATACACACCTTGCTGGCAACAACTTATCAAATATCAAAAACACACGTGTTTCTGTTCCGGAAACGTACACTGAAAAAAATTTCTGGTTGGATATGGACGAATCAGATAATTCCTTTAGGATTTACCAGAATTCCTTTAGGATTTACCAGAATTTCTGTAGGATTACAGGAATTCTGGTAAATCCTAAAGGAATTCTGGTAAATCCTAAAGGAATTATCTGATTCGTCCATATTCAACCAGAAATTTTTTTCAGTGTAGGGTTGAAGGTAGTCAAGTCTGCTCGAAAATATAAAAAAATCTTCAAATTGTAAGATATAATATTGTTTTTTGATACATTTGAATTGTCTTGGGAACTTTTATTAAAAAACTGGATTTTTATGTAAAAAATGGACAAGTTAATAGAAGGTTTTAAATTTTATAATTTCTCGAAGTTTTACAATTCTATACTTTGAAAAAAAAACTTTTTATTATATTTTCCTACAAATTTCGTTCATCATTGACGCCCCGCTGGGTTTTTGCTTGTAGTAAACTCTTTTCCCCCCACTTTACACTGCTCTATTTCTGTACCCGTAATTTTCCTCTTTTTCGTCACTTCTACCCGCGCGTGTCTGCTCTACGAAGTCGATCACCGCACATACACGATGCAGAAAGCATCGGCGAATCTTTTGCGTGTCGCATCGATTTCCTTCTTCTGTATCTACAATTGTAGAATCTATGTATGTATAAAGATCGAATGTCGAATCAATCGCAATTCGTTATCTAGTCGTGCTCGGCACGTGAGAGCAAATACAGTCAACACTTTTAATGGCATTGAGAAAGCCGGGAATGATGCAATCCTAAGCAAAGTCGAGCACGCGCTTGTAATTAAAAAAAGAAACCGGTAAAACAGCAGTTAATATTTTAGCTAGCTAGATTTGCAAGCAATTATCTCGTCGTATTTATCATGTGTTAGTGAATGCAATCAGAATTTATTAGCAATGACATAAAAAATTATGAATAATCTATGTCAGTCATTTAATTTGCTGTGCGCTAAAAAATATTGAGAATGTTTATGTGGTTTTTCACGATTATTGATAAGTCAAATAAAATTCTTGTAAAAGCTATTTTTTATATACATATGTGATAGATACTGATAAAGTTTTAAACATGAAACTCGAGATCGAAACAATTTTAATCTGAAATTTCTGATTTTTTTCTTTATCTTTTCTACAATGGCAGTGTGGCAGCCAAGTTACGATGACACGCTTGCAACACGTGCACTCATGTATACAATCTCATTGCCCATCCGTCTTCAACATGAAATGATCACGTGTTTGGGAAATTCTCACAACGCATATTGTTAGTGCAGCTTCTTGTGTAGTTGCAGCAGCAATGCAGTCTTCATAAAAAAATTTTAATTTTATTTCGACACTTACCGTTATCTTCTTCGAAGAATGTTATTTTACCAAGTTTTCTAATTTTGTAATATGATACAATTCAAATTAGTCTTTTTGTCTCAATGGCTGAGAGTCAATTAAATTTCACTTGGCTTTGTTTCATTACAACATTGTATTGGAATAACATTGAATGATTGTTTAAATATTTTTTAGTTTATACTGTTATAGAAAGGTAAATAATGCTTAGTTCTGTTCAGAATAGTCAAAACTAAAAAACCTTCTCTCAAATCATGTTTTGGTTCAGAATTATGCGTATCTCTCTCAATATAATATTTATTTATCTTCGGTTCATTGTAATTAAATAACAAATTTTATTACAGAATATATGGCCTGATCACATATTCGTCTTTTTTAAATCGTATTCAATGTTTTACACAGCCAAAATCAATTATACCGGTTGTAACCCAGTGAGAAATGATTCGTCGCCCGACGACGAATTATTTCTCACTGGGAATACTATATACGACACAACATGTAATTAAAAATCTCACAATAATACATTTTTGTTTACAATGTATTAAATTGATATTCGATTTTTTTGGACATAAAAATCTAGATAAATTGCAATCATCGTGAGATGTGGTGTAAAACAGCAATGGATAATCGCATCGCTGCATTTGCAAACCGAGAAGTGAAAATAAATGAATCATAGTATCTGTCACAATTCTTATTTATATATTCGTCTAATTTTCCTCTTTTTTTCTGTTGCTCTCACTTTTTCTTCCCGCATCTCTCCCATTTTGTCGATTCCTACATGCACTATCGTTTGATTGATCCCAAACTCTAACATTCAGGATGGGAACAAATAATGTTTAAACGAGAAGAGTACATTGCCACGGACGTAGTTAGAAAATTGTAAAAGTTTTGACTTTGTTAAAATTGTTTTTAACTAACCTCTGCGAAGTTATGCTAATCGTTATTAAAATTAAATTATCTAGAATTTTGTCTTGGAATTATAATATTATAATATTATAGTCGTTCAAAAATGACTAGAACAATATGTAAAATATTAAATAAAAGTTAATTAAGTAATAATTTATTAAAAATTATTAATTATGCCTTGAGGATATCTGAATGATATAAAAAGGGAAATTTGTGACACTTGTATACATAAATTTCAATTTCAATTCTTCTTTAAAGTTATTTATGACCTTGATCTTTAGATCGGTATTTAATTGGTAGTTTAAATTCTTTTATTTCAATTAGTGAGAAGCAGAATAATCAATGTCATATCCTTGAAATTTATGCTTCATCTCAATCGTAATTAAACAGTCTCGTGATTATTTTGCCCAGAGCATTAAAAACAGATTAAAAAGGTGAAGTAACTCTCTTTCAAAGTTCATCGAAAAGTTTTGCGCATTGACATTTGCTCGCTCTGGACTATGCGCATGGTCCTTTCGTCGCAGTAGATTATTTTCGACAAATGCGAGACTTGTATACACAACTGTATAAATAAAACGAATTGCGTCGGCGTTCAATATCGTATGTATTGTGACTAATATCGAATGTTCCTTGGAAGACTAGGCGATTTTTTGTGTCTGAATATGCAACGTTTGCATCAAATATGACACGACGAAATTGAATTCTTGTTACCTGATGAAATTGCTGAATAAGAACTGTCGAATTGACAGACGGCCAATAAGTTTATGCTACGGATCATTTTATCGTGCTAATGAATTAATTGATATTTCTTATTTAGCTTATTTTACAAAGAAAAGAAAACAAAGCGATATATAATAAAAATCGTAACAAGTAGCGTAGATTAAAGGTAATAATTGAACGGAATATAAATGTAGAGATATCGTCTCAGTTGCTATAAATATTTTTAATTTTTACTTTTTGAAAGCAAAATCACAGCTACATACGATGTGGTTCCATAATCATTAATATAATAATAATAATAATAGGACCCACACATCCGCCTTGTAGGTTCGAAAGCTACAAGGTGAATCTGATAGGCGAAACTTCAAATAATAAAAATAATAATAGAGAATAATACATAGAATAATGACCGCATGCTCGTCGTGTAGATTCGAAGGCTACAAGGCGAGCGTGACAGGCAAAATTAACCAGTAATAATATTAATAATAATATAATAATAGATAAAATTATATAATAGCTTCATCTCTCTTAGATCCATACAGCGGATATTTTAGCACTAACGACCATACGATAGAATCTCTCTAGCTTTTCTCGAATATTAATACGCTCTAGTGGTATACTGTTTCGCTTCACTTTCGTCTTGCTTGCGTTGTCGTTTTCGAACAATGACCACGTTATTACATATGTCTATCTCATATTATATAATAATATATATAATAATCTTTATAAATTATATATATATATTATATATATAATAAAGGTTCTCCATATTTATAAGGCAACCACCATACATCATTGTTAGCAATTCTCTCTTTCTCTTTGTCGCTCAACACCCAATCAGAATTCACCTCTCGCAATTACGTTCCATGCAGACAAATTGCTCATTCTCATTCGATTACTCCCATTATTTCCTGTTCGCTCTCTTTTCTTTTTCGTACGCATTCCTATCGACTCTAAACACTAAATAAATATTATACAGATTTGTCTATCGACCACATGCTGAATCTTCCATAGTCCCGCGCAAGTGTCTCTCGACTTAAAATAGTAAAACAGTACTTGGACTTTTATAGCGTGGTTTTATGGCACTTGTTTAATGGCTGGACTCTAGCCTCTCCACGTTCACGATGCGAACGATATCTTCGGTTCTGACAACGATACCTTTTCGTTTTCTTCTTCTGCTTCTGAGATTGGTATCCGCTTCGATATCGCGTTACATCGCTGATACGACACGCGATACCGCGAGAACGACGAACTTTCTTCGCGATTTTTAAACTGCCGCGTAAGGACGACGCACCGTCGGCGTGGACAGGATCGATGACTATCGACTTGCTATGGAATGCTACTATTGTAATATTTCAGGAAAACTATTAGAACATTGAGATCCTCGGTGCATTTTCGAGGGATCAGCTTGATCAACCGAAATGTAATCGGGCCTCCTACAAACACCGCGATCGATCCGTCTCGCTTGACTGTTTATAGATTTAGTACTGTGAAGTGAAAAATCGTGATGTGAAAAATAACTTTTCAAATATGAAATTTTAATTTTTCATAAACTTTTTTATAACTACGGGTTGTACGGATGAGACTTTAAATTAAGATAAGCAATGTTGCCATTTTTTATCACGGCTCATTTTCATAAAAAACATTTTATAATTATATATTTCACAGCTATTACCGCTATATAATTGATATTATTTTGTTGAAACCAAACATATTTCCGGCAATAAAATACGATTTTTTATTACAATACTTTTGATATGTAAGATCTTTATAAGATATTGTTGTATTTAAGAAATTATTTCTATGTACTTTTACTGGATGAACTTTGATCGTAACAACGCATACATTCGTGGAAACGATATCTTTTTGTGATTTTGATTTCATGGTCGACCAATGTCTACAATATAAATTAGGGCATGGATTGTTTACTAACCATTTAATACGATAAAAAACAGAGTCGGGGCGATATCTTAATTGGGAGCAGACACATTCGGGTTCCGATGACATCACAAATTGTTACATTTTTCATGATATATTCAAAGGATAACGTTCAAAACGTTCTTTTGCTGCTGATGCAACATTGTAAAATATTTAACATTTTTATCGAAAATATTAATTACAGCATATAGAAACAGGTTTCGTACCAATAAATTGTTAAGTAAAATGTTGAGTGCATATCTAAAAAATCTTTTGCAAAATGTTCCTTTCTCTAAGATAAAATTTTGCATATAAAAAATCAAGAAAGTTCTCGGCGATTGTATTTGTACAGATTAAATTGAAACATAAAATATAAATATTTCATAAAAAATGTAAAAACGTTAGAAAATGGTAATTTAAATATCGGCGACTATACTCTGCGGCGTTTCATCTAGTTGATGTATCTTTAAGGCACTAGCGTCTTCTGTTTACTAGTGAATCTATGATCGTTTCTCGGCCAGTCGAATAAAATAATTCAGGAAAGAATTTAATCTAGAAGTACCACACAATATAATTATCGACATCAACAAGTGGAGTAGGAAATTATTATTTTCAGAATCAATTATCTATCAAAATTAGACTTCTTTATTTAATCCGTTTATGTAAATATTAATTGCAATCGCGATATTCTGCTTCGAAATTCGATCATAGGTACAAATAAGATGTAGTTGCCTAACTGTGTGATCTAACTATCGATTCGGTTCTGCTGCTATGTAGAACAAATAGCCTCCTACGTATCGTTGTACGTTAAATTGCTAAGGCACGGCCCTACAAAAGTTCGGAAAAGATCCTAAAGGCACCCCAGGGCATCTCTCGCCGAGCAGTCGCATAATATTTTCTGCGTATTACGTTTAATTATCCGCCGAGAAGATATGCATGTGTCTCTTCTGGTCTCCACGCGAGAACTACGTGTTAAACTCTCCGAATACTCTCCTTATCGTTTATCCGGTATTATTATCACTCTCTGTGCAAACGAACCGTATCTCAAAGATAAAAGATAAACCAGATTGATGCAAAAAATCACTCTTCTTGGTTGCTTTTACAAACGAAAAGGAGCAAAGATGCTCCTATGTGATAAGAAATGTATAGCGAAATTACGCGCGAGAAAATAAACTTATTGAATGAAAATGGAATCGTATCATCGTTGAGCGTGCTTTAGGAATAGAAGAAGCGAGAAATCTCTTCCTTTCATGAACGATTCATACCAATCACAATAAATATATACAATACACACATATATTAAACAGCTTTGCATTATGTCGATCAGCGACCGTTTTTCTTTTAGAACATGCTTCGAATATATCTTTTCTTTCTTCTTTTTCGCGCATATATAACTTTTATCTCTTCAAACTCTTAATTTTCATGTCTTCTAACCTGATCGTTCAACGACCATCGCTCATTCTTCATTCTATCCTCCGTCCTTATGTTCCGGCTTGCAGTCTTTCAAATTAAATTTCAATGTATCAATATTCATCTGCTAATATTCATCGCATATCCTCCAAAACGTAATTCAGCACGAAATGCGTTTCTTTCTATTTTGCCATTTGATGTATTGAAGTTATAACGGATCATCATTGCACAATCAACTCTCCAATATACGAATTAATTAAATAAATAATTTGCGATTACTAATAGAGAAACCCATACGAAGCGACTGTTTTGAAAATTTGTACAATGAATATAAAAAATGATTAAAGAGTACACTCTCACGTTGTGGTGGCCATTATTGAATCTCGTCATCGACTCTTGCTATCGATTGCGCAATAGGAACGCTAATACCGCCGACATAACGCAATAGGCATTTTTAATTTCGCAGTCTAGACGATAGGAAAATATCTTTCCCTCACTTCTCCAGTGCCAAAGCGAAAGATATAATCGTCGCATTAATTCCTACTATCTCGCAATGCATAAAGAATATGCAATCAAATTGTCGCGTTGCCGATTTGCCACTTCGTATTACTGTCTTCATTTTTTTTTTACGGACAATGTATTAAACTATTCTAGGATCTAGATCGTCGTAAGGACTTCACGCGGAGGGTACATAGGATGACACTAATAAAGGGAAAAATGTACAAGGTTCCGTTTTTCACCTATTAAATATTATAGTTTGTCTTTTTTTTCATGCTAAAGCTATTATTATATAGACTTGTCTTCGTATTATTGTCTTAGCGCTACGCCAGATTCTCGCGTCCCTCGTTCTCGTTCCCGGTTCCCGAGAGTCATGGTCCGGAAGGATTATACTTAGAGATTCGACTACCTTGTAATTCTCACTTGAATTTATCCCATACGTCAAAGTTCCCTCTTCCTCACATGTGGAAGCGTTTCTAGAGTCTGCAAAGATTGCTCGACGATGAAATCGTTTTCTCGATTCTTCGTCGGTTCACCTTAGTGATTAGACTTTATGTACGAAGAGACCGAATCGTCTAAACGTTCTCTCGACGTAGCCACAGATACCGAACGTATCTTGATTCGAAGATCTCGACCTAATAGTATTCATTCTGAAGATAAACGTTATTGACTAGCCCCCTACCGTTTGCTACTGATCATCCATATTACCAGGAACGTTGCTCGATCATGAACGATCGAGGCACTCGAGTGTTCTTTCGGGGAATGTCTATAGGGACTAGGAATTTGTCTTTTAACAGGCGTCTTCCGGAATTTCGCGGACGATCGTTTAGACTTTCTTTTACGCGGCAATAATCGACGGTGGGCATCGAGTTGCGACAAAGTCGTTGACTAGTCCTCTACCGGTTCCGCTCGATTTTCCGCCTAGTCGGGAGAAGATGGCAACGCCATTCTCTAGGGAATGTCTACAGGGACCAAGGTAATGCTTTATTCGGGCATCCTGACACGTGCAGGACTTGTACGGGAGATCGTTAGGAGTCCATGTGTCGGTACTTGTGCGCTGACATCTGCGCCAGACCCAACACTGCATACTGGCACTGCAGACAATGATAATGCGTCTGCTTGCCAGAGTGTTGACACTGCATAGCTCCGCACGGTTGACTGGGCGTAAATTTCTGGAAACCCGCCGCTGCGATACTGTCCAGCTTGGCGTGTTGCCGCCGATGAGCGACCACCTTATTCGTGTCTGTGCAGACAAAGTCGCACTTCAAACAGTGAAAATGCGACGCCTTGTTCTGCATCGACCCGAGGGACGTCGTGTACGCGCATTGAGCCCTGCCGCATGGCACGTTGGCTCGATACTGCTGGAAATCACCCCCCATCAAGGTATCCAGCCGCTCGTGCCTCGCAGTGTGCTGCACGAAGCGAGTTTTGTCGCAGAACGAATAGCCACAATCTTGACGCATGCAGTGGAAGTGAGTCTGATGCTCTCTGTAGCCGCAATGAGGGTACCTGCAGTCCTCGTTGAATCTGAATCTGTAACAGCGATCAAATAAAATTTTATTTTCAACAAACGATTCACGAAACTATAATACCAACCTGACATATCCCTCCGGCACAGGCTCGTCCTTCAGCATACGCATTGAATGATGAAGTCTCTGCTTCTTGGCTTCTGGCGAATTAGAGTCTGGCGGTGAGAGAGATCTTTTGTTAAGATTTAAATTAGCTGCCAGCGAGGCTAAGGGATTCTCATCTCTCGCGGGTGGAAGAAAATTGGTCGGTGGTAAACCGGGTGCGAACATAAGTCCAGGTCCACCGGCATACATTCCACCGTGTTGAAGAAAGGGCGGTAGAGCCTGATTCATTAGAGCGATCTGTTGATTCATCGCCGCCATCACAGCAGGACTCGGAAAGTGGAAGCCATGGGTGAGATCGAGCTCGAAGCTTGTCGGTATCGAAGGCTGCTGTACATTAGCAGACTGAATTGGTGGTTGCGCCAATTGACCGTTTTCGTGATTATCTATCACAGTATTGTTGCCTTCGTCCCTACATGTAATTTCAGACGGTTCCCGCTTCACGTTCGGGACATTTTGTACACCGATGTCGATGCTGCATCTCTTTTCTAACTTGATTTCTTTAGATTGAGACTGTTGGTTGAGGGTCTGCTGCATCTGCCGTTGCATTTGGCTCTGAAAGTTCTGAATGTTCTGCGCCATCTGAGCGTTTGGCGACATGAAGTCATGTTTCTGCGATAGCTGAGCGATGTAATCGTGCTGCAGCTGATTAGGCGACGGGCTGACCATGTCGTGTTGCTGCTGGCTGAGAATGGCGCCAGTCGAGTGCTTCGCTATATGCGCGACCAAGCGATCTAACTCGGAGAAAGCCTGGTTGCATGCGTTGCAGTGATAATGATTCTTGCGCTTCAGCTTGCAAAACGGCCTGCTGCAACTTTGCTCCGGTCCGTACAAGGTGTGCGGCGAGGTAGAGCTCATAGACGGTATGACCGGCGATTCTGCAACGTTAAAGATTTCTTTGAGCTCGAATCGCGCAAGAGCGAGAGACGCGAGAAAACTAATTTACTAATACAGAAACACTCTTGAAAGCACAAAACTTGATCGAAAAGAGACAGACGAACCTTGGTGCACGGAAGTTCGCATGGATAGCACGACGCCCGGAAGTGCGGGTTCGCTCGGCGGTCCGCTGACCGGATAATAGGTGCCAGCCGCCCTCACCACTAGCAACAATCAACCAAACAACCAACACTTCAAATGTACCGCCCGCTATGAATACAACCACCGTGTATATAGTATGTACATACATCGAGAAAATCAAACAACAAAACAAACGATCGCATGAGACAAAACAAACAACGGAAGACTAGCGAAGAGTGTCCTACTTCAACGCAAGGTATGACGTATAAACTGGTGTGCGACTACGTGCAAAAAGAACATGCATATGTACTTGAGTGAGAGAAAGTATCTGTGTTCTTTGAAAAAAACATTGCCAAACTTGCCCAAATATTGATATTAGAGTGTTCTGATCAGTGCTTTCTTTTCGCATACTTACCGGTGGTCTTGCCGCTGTCGGGGCTCGCAAGCTCGGATTCCTTGTCCTCGATCATCGACCTGCTCTCCTGATCGGCTGCCGTCAGACTCTCGTCGGGTTTCTCGATCAACTCGGCGGTATTCTTCACCTGGATCCTAGGTTTCGTCTCCTGGACCAACGATTGAAGTTGCGTTTGACATTCCTGATTGCTCGACTCCTGACCGCAGGATTCGGCGTGACCGGAAGAGTGCTGCTTTTCGTGCAACGCCATTGTCGAGTATCTAACGAACGAGTATCCGCAGTTCGGTCTGGTACAATGAAAATGCCGATTAACGCGATTGCTGTGACAGCCGGCCAGTCGACAGTCGACCATCTTGTCGTAGAAGGCGAAACCCGGCGGTATGTCGACGTTGTCGTGGAAATCTTTACTATGCATGAGCAATTGGTCTGGCCGATCGGTAGAGAAGTGGCACCGTAGTTGCGAACAATGATGGTGCCTGATTGACCTAAGCACGCAGGCCGTATCCGGGCATCCTTCCGAGTTGTACGTAGCAAATCCCTCGGGCTCGCCCAGACTGTTCGAAGGCGACACGCTACCCTCTCGGTCCTCTGTTAGCATGTTAGACGTTAAATTAGGAGTTTGCGGTTTCGGGAGTTTAAAACTCGTGAAGATCGCCTGCGGCGAATCGTGAGTGTGCGTCGCGGGGTCGCCGCCCGACCAGATTTCTATCACACGATTTTTAGGTGGTCTACCTCGCTTCCGCCTGAACATTGCGTCGATAGTCGTTAGATGGGTCAACGTAACGTCGGAGGAGAGAGCGTGCGAGGAACAAGAGAGGTTCAATTGTCGGCTGTACTCGTGGATCTTGTAATGTTGCAATCTGCGAAACGGCTTGTCGGTGGAAAGTATCACTTCTCGGCAGTTGTCCCAATTGCAATGATAATGCTTCTCTTTGTCCGCGTACGGACAATTGTCGTCGCAGCCACCCTCTTCGAAGAAAGCGTCCGTTATGCGTTCCTGGGTCTCGTGTTCCTTCAGATGTTCCCTGACTTCCCGGGGATCTTTCAAGGCCGCTCCGCAGCGGTCCAATCCGCAATGATAATGTTCTCTTCCCGCGTTACAAACGCAGTCCGAGGTCGCCGGTACCAGATAGGCCAATTCGGCGGCGGTGAGTTGTTGAGACTGTTGATGTTGCTGCTGATCGAGATTAACGGAGCTACCGCTAGCCGTAATAGTTGTGGTCGGAGCGGTGAGATCCATTGCGAGGTCACTCGCACTTTGGAAAGAATCTTCCAAAGAATAGTACGACGGAGAACCTCTGCCCTCGTTCGAGCTCTCGCCGTTCAGACTTAGAGATAAACTTTGAGCGCTCAATTCGTCCGGCGCCCATGATCCAGGTGGACGTATGCCACCACCTACGGCGGTGACCTGCTTGTACTTCCGATAAGCCAGTTCTGATTCATGACGCTCATGTTTTCGTTTGTGCGAAAAGAGCTGGCCGGAAGAGTGCAGAACGTAGCTACAGTGCGGTCGTATGCAATGAATGTGATTGCAAACACGGGAAAATCGGCACTGATCAAAGGGACAGGCCTCCGATTTCATGAACTTCTTGAAACCATCGCGCGACAGTTGTTCGTCCTTGATGTGATAAGACTTGTGCTTGTCTGGAAAAAAAAGATAACGAAAACCTGTAATTAAAATCACGGAGATTTCAAACAACGACGAGATATAATAAGGTGCGTTAAGTGAAAATTTATTAACGTAATTACTTCTCGGTATAAGAATGAACTTTGAAACATTTGACATGTTAAATTTTCAAGGCCTTGATTGACGACAGTCTCGACCCGGAACGCCGGCGAGCACTGATCACGCAAGCGTTCGTTCCTTACCCATATCGGCTTTATTTTTGAACGTGAACCGACATCCCGGTCGACGACAGTGAAAGTGCGTGGTCCGTTGTCCAACGAATTGACAATAGTCAGTCGCGCAACTCTCAGTGGCCCGAAATCGCTGGAAGCCCTCTTGTATGATGGCCGAGTCCTTGCGGTGGTAATTCGCGTGCATCTGCACGTCCGATGTCGATATGTATACCTTGTCGCAATTCTCGTGGATGCAATGATAGTGGGTCTGCTTTCTATTGTGCGGACAGGCCCGGCCGGGGTGCTTTTCCGAGCAATCGTCCATCGGCGAGTACCTCATGAAGCCGTGCTGCAAGGACTCGTCCCTCTTCTTGTGCCACTTGAAGTGCCTGATCATTTCCTCCTTCTTCACAAACACTCTCCCGCTGCAGTCCAGACAATGAAAGTGCTCCCTGCAGCCCAGTTCCTTGCAATACGTACTGCCGCATTCCTGACTGGATGCATATCTCCTCACATATCGGGAATAATCGATGATCGGTTGGGACACCGAGGTCTTGGAACCGCTCATCAGAGAATCCGCTACCGGAGACATGCTCTGCCTGAGCAAGGCTGCGACAAACGAGGGAGGATCTCATTTATTAAACTTAATCTGGATTATCGAGTAGACGTTACGAAAAATATTTCGTAAAAGAATAATAAGATCAAATAAACGAGCTACTAGTCCGACAACGATTGCTCGTTTCTATTTAAAGTGAACGCCACGTTAATATAATTTTAATTTAGCGCCTAAATATGCTGTATTAACGAGATATTTGTGAAATATGATAAATTGAAAAGTTGCGTCTTTCGAATTGAAAAATCAACGGGTCTCAGTAGGTCACAAACTGCCCTAGAGATCTGCACGAGATTCTCGTCTCGTCACGACTTTCCGTGTGAGTCGAGATAGGTATATCGGTCGATACCAGCTGGGATCCGCTGGTACGCGTTCCCTCTACAGGCAACCATCTTATTTTACCGACCGTGTGTTCTGGGGCAATACCATCGTTCTGGACAATACGGTTCGCGTTCACCTCGCCAGATGAGACGCGCATACCAGAATGACTTCTGATACACATAGCGCGAGTTATGAGCGCACCGTTCGTCGACCTATGGCACTCTCCCGCGCGACCGAAAACTGGTTGTCCGATGGGCGCGCACGGGCACGCCGCGAGATAAAAGAGAGAGGGCGGAAAAAAAGAGAGCGCGGGAGAGGAAAGAATGGTCGACGTGAAAAAAAGAAAAAAAAGAGAAGAAACTATCGGGTCGATCGCAATACGCATATGCAAAAAGCGCGGCGTGGCCGCGGGCGAAGCGCCGCGGTGAGGCGCGTAAGCATTTGCCTCGGCGTATAGCTCATAGCTCTCCTAAAAGACTCGAAACGGCCGCGGCACGCAAGAAAATATTGAGCGCGAGACGCAATTCGGTTGACCAATCCTCGCTCGCGATAATTATCTCCCGAGGTAATGCGCACACGAGAGATGGAAATAAACTGCGCGCACACCACGCCGTTCTCCCCTTTTTTTGCCTAAACGAATAATTCTACAGTTAAAGCACTCTCAAGCGGCCGCATTTACATTTCTTGCCCGGATGTATTTAAATTTTATTATTCGGGCATGTCGAATACCGTGGACGGCGAGCCCCTTCCACAAATGCCTGCTCGTGCTTTGCCGCCGGGCATTAGATTGATACATTGTACGTCGAAATTCAAGTCTACGAAATTGAGCGGCGTGAGATGCGATGAAAGGATAATTGTACATAGACAGGCTATATCGGCGAGAAATAGGAACAAAGGCGCATTGCGGCCCACGTTGATTTATCGGGCGCTACGGAGCCGATCATAGAACGATAACAAATCATGTGTCACATAGCCCGAAACCGAATGTCCCCGGGCTCGAGTGTTTTAATCCTACAACATCTATCACACGCGTCATCCAGCGTTTGGTGCACCCTACCAGGACGAGGTCGATTCTCAGAAATTCCTACTTGCTGACTGCAAGGCGCGCGTTTGAATGCCCGCGTGTTCAGGAACGAGTTTAAAAATTGTCGAATATTTCTCGTGGCTCGCGGGGACTCCCTGCTCTTCGTGGTATATGTGCCGTCAGGAACAGAGGGAACGCGCGTACGTTGGCCGCCCGTGCGCTTCTGCAAGAGCGTATACGCGCCCCGCTACAAAAAGAGAAAGGGTTTAGTCTTCGGGGAGAAAGAGAGAGAGAGAGAGAGAGAGGCTAAGAAAGTAAAAGAGAAAGAGAGAAAGCAAAAAAAAAAGAAGAACGAGCGTTACGAGAGGGAAACAAGTGTGGCGAGGGAGAATTCGGTACACATTATTCTCCCGCGTTACAACGAAGAAACGTAGGTCTTTGAGGCAGCGAGTCTTTTACATCATTTCTACGCGAATCCGAAAAAGTTCTTCCGGCACTCGTATCGATGCGATCACTCTCCAGCGAAGTCGAGCAACTCCGGCCGATTTAATAATAAGCGCCGGTGTCACCGGATATGCTTCCAGTTACGCGTCGTTGCGTAACATTCGGTTACGGCGATTAACTTATCCTCTGGCTGAGTAATTACGCAACGCAGCTGCGTATCTCGATGTCGCGTATCTCGCGCAGCCGCTCATTAAAGGCACCTTTGGCTTTCACGCTGCGGGAAACTATTGTTTGCACAAATTTATAATCCGCGTCGGTTGCTGCCGCTACGTTGTTTGCCGGGTCGAAGCTTCAAGTACGTAATCGTGGAGTACTCCTTCTCGCGGGCCAAGGCCTACGTACAAGGCATCGTCGTATTAATCGAGGATAAATATTAAAGAGCTAGAGTTCGTTCCCGGGAGAATATCATGTGCACACGGTTTGGCCAACTCCTTCTCCGTATCCAAGAATGTCAAACATTTCGACGCTTAATTATGCAAACCGGGAAGCGTGCCAAAATCGTGATAGTACGCAAGTGAAACATACCGCAGCCTTGAAACGCCTCGAAGAGAAAAACTGATCGATTTACAGTCTGGGAGCACAACGAATGACGTTGCCGTTCAAATTAAAACACTTACGGAGAAGATTAACAGAACGTCCCGTATTTCGCATCGTTAATATTCAACTGATCTCAACTTACTTAATGAAATAAAGCGGATTTCATTAATTTTAATTGCACGATTAAGTGCGGACAGCGAGAAGCAACAATGAGCGCCGAGCCACGGCTCGAGATTCTAGAAAATCAGAAGACGTAATTTCATAAAAGCTCGTCATGTTTATTACAGCATTGTGAAAAATGCAAGATGATCTAATACTCCCCTTTCAGAGAAGAGAGACACCACCTACGCGTGGTATCGCGCAGTTACCGATGGCACCGAATGGAGAATATGCACGACGTGACGGGGCTTAAAGAGCAAATCTTAAAAAATATGTGAAACCCCCTGGACGACACGTAGTCGGGGCTCCCTTCCTCCTCGCATCCAGCGGCTTTGAGCTCGAACCCTTTTATACGTAGTTCTTAAAGCTGCTCGGAGAGCGGGAAGTTGGGAGCCGATCCCAAACCGTGGAGAGATGGAAACGGGACGACCATCCGAGAGGCGCGGCGAGGGGGGGGAGTTAAAAATTTTCAAAAAGGCCCGAACCTGAAAAGACCCCGTATTTCAGGGTCGCTTTCCTTTTTTATCATTTAATCCGTGGGCCGAGCGAATAACCCTTTATACCACGGTACCACGCCGAAAACGGTCGCTACCTCCATCGCGCGCTCATGCGCACTCCTATCCTTCCTTCTCGCTCTCTCGCTCTGTGCACTTACACGTGTGCCCACACGTACGCTTATACGCGCGCACGGAGGGGTTCACGCAACCTATGGAAGTGCGTGTTTGGATAATGCGTCGAGTGCCCGCTGCGCTCGCCAATTCGTCGTCTTAGCCGCGGCGACCCCCATTGAACGCTTTTTCTTCTCGAGAGGTTCTAAATACCGGTGAAAAAAAGAAAGAAATACGTGAACAGGCACAAGGTACGGACGTGCCCTCACTAGCTGCTTTTTCCTCTACCCCCCCGGTTAGGTTCGCAACCCTTCCTCGATGGTCCTCGTCGCGACATTGTTTCCGGAAAAATGGCTTCGCGAATGGTACCGCCGGCCAGATGCGATTTAATAACCCAGAATCAACGTTAGAGTACTTCAATATCGATTCGCAGCACTTCTGCCGTATGGCGAGCGAACAAAGACTAATTTCCTTATCTTTATTTTGTTCTCAATATACGATAGTTGCCACGGGATACCGAACGGCATAATGAAATGTACATTTGACGAAATTACAGTCAATAGATCCGAGACACTTTGCATTGAAAATTCATAATAAGCCGTATCTTTAATGTAATCAGGACATGTCTGGATATAGTTCGATAGATAACTGAATGTGTCAATAGCGATCGTTTGTATTAATGCGAGTCAACTGACTGGCGTGACTGATGGATTTCTAGCGTCTGTCCGAACGCAAGCTCGGAGTATGTCGGCGCCAGCATCAGCGGAAACTCGTACAAAGGGAGAGAATATATGGGGAAAGAGTAGATGATAAGGGGGACCGAGAGGTAGAGAGAAGAAATGTGAGAGGGGAAAGTGAACGGAAAGGGAGAGAAAGAGAGCGAGCGACACTAAACTATTCTAAGATCCGCGAGAGTGTCGCGAATTTATTGTCTCTCGGCAAATGTGGCGACGTTATTTCTGTCAAAATTACGTTATGGTTCCTATTCCCTCGTTTTCCCTGCGTCTACTAACTTTTTCCTCGCTGTGCAGTCTGTTTCTTCTTATCTCTCATTTTCCAATCCGTCCATCCAGGTCTCTTAACCTTCAGCTAAGTTTCTTCCTTTTCTTCTCTCCTTCTGCACGTTTCTCGAAGCAATAATCATCGATTCCAGAATGAATATTATTACACAAATTGCATGACGAGGATGACGAATGCCCACTATAATTTCATCCGAGAGATCTATTTGTTTCAGTCCTTCTCGAACCGTTGAAGACTCAGGACAAACCGAATTTTTAACTATTGACCTAAATTTTACATACCGCTGTACATCAAGTTTCATCTAATTGTTGTTATAATTTAAACCTTCATACTGCCGGGACGAAACCTAGAGGAATTGATAGATGTCTCTACGTGAATAATGCCGAACATAACATTATTAATTTGCGCACAAAAACTATTAGTGAATTGCGAGCGGTCCGTTAGAATGTGGTACGTATTATATTTTTAACACAACTTTCTTTTTGCGAATTTTATCTTACGATAGTTAAATATGCTGAAGAAGACGTCGTAATGTCGAAACGCGTCCGTTTCTGTAATTATTCGTAATCGACATCGCGATGTAAAATAAATTGTACTTTTATAACAATTCTATACCCTTTTCCGCTCGTTATAAATATATTGACCGTAAACTCAACATCTGCTACTTTACTGTTCATCTGCAAATCTTTTAACGATAAAACGTAGCACTTGTCTCCAAAAAACACTCCATCCTTTAAACGTTAGCCGTCCCCTAAGTAAAAATCATCGCTCTAAGTGGTCTATTAGCTTCTAATGTGACAAAACTTAATTCAAAATGCATTTC